TCGTGACGGCAACTGATCAAAGAACAGTAAAATGCAAAAAAATAATACATATATATTTTTTTATGAGTCATTTATTTCTATCATGGGATTGTTTATGAGGCTATTATCGTTCTTGTCTTGATGGAGGTGACTAACATATAGCGGCCCTTTTGTATTTTCATTTTTGGCCAGTGACGACGTGGGCCAGTCTGCTTGCCATTCGACTTCCCAGGTGTAGCTCCATCCATACCCTATCTCCTCTTTCTTCCTTGGGATTTGTGAGTCATTCTCAAATTTTTAAATAGCCGAATAGCTAGTATTAAAACTCAGCCATTTATTATAACCTTTTCCAGCAAAATGTTGCTGTTTTTCGACGCTCCACTGGCGACCTGTTAGAGGAAAAATGAAAGGAAAAACAAAAAAAAACAAAAAAAATCATTCAAATATATAAAAATATTATTAAAAATTATCCCCGTTAGGGTTGATTGCGCCACGTAGGACGGCCAGGGTCCATGTCAGAGTCAACCGGCCAAAATTGGCCGAATGAATTAAATTGACACAACTGCAAAAAATTTAGGACTCAATTGACAAAAAAAAAGATTTATGACTGAATTTACACAATTGCAATAGATTTATGACTTTTTTTGGTAATTCTTCTAAGTAATGTACAATCTTATTAACAGGTTAAATAATAAACGATGCAGATTGCTCGCAATATTTTTCAACGTTAAGAGATCTGGCCTTATGGTTAGGTCTCTTAACTATAGAAGCCCCTTTTAAAATATATATAAATATAAATATAAATTATTGTGGATGAACTAACCAATCACGAAAGGATCTTGTTTTTTTCCTACATGCCATGAGAAAATTAAATTTTACACGTGATACTTTGTTAGAGTCGCTCCAAATTCCTCTCTATGTAATATTTCCTTAAGAGACCACAAGGACACAATGCTAGAATAGCCAACATTTTTAGCTTGCCGTTAACTTTCTTTCGTCTCCTTTATTTTTCCGTTTTCAGCTACAGTGTCTCTCTATATGGAATGGGCTTTGACTTCGATCATGCTTATCATTGTGTTTGTTGGGTGTTTATTTTTTAGAGAATTTATACTTTTTTATACAAAATTATGCAATAACTTCATGTGCAAAATCAATGGCAGAATCAATAGCTATATAATTATGTAATAATAGTCTCTTCTCTAAGCCCGGCCTCTAAGGTTGATACATAGCATTCTAGATAGCTAGAAAAGACTTCTCCTAATTTGAAGAATTGGATTTGCTACATTCTCCATATAAAAAAAAATGTGGCCACCTAGGCTCCACCTAAGCTAATATTTTGCACTGCTGACTAGATAGACTATTCATATATCATATAATCATAATGTACTTCTATGCACTAATTCCTTATTAACAACATAAGTTCTACTCGATCTAATTACAAGGAAAATGTCTGTCATGGCTTTAAATTTTTTCTAATTAGTCAAAATGTTTTTAGACGGTCATAATTCATATACAAAATTAGGGGTAAATAGACATTTACAACATAACAATTTTTTATGGGCAACTTTGTCACGTGAAACTAATTAAGAGAGAATTTCAGCCAGCTTAATTTTCAAAGTAGATCTTAGACCAATATTATGCCTATCTATCATATGATACTATTATTTTAACGTTATACTTACTTAGCATCTCTATCTTGCACTTATTGAATATTACTATATGATAATTTTATGTTAACTTTGTCATTTTCTTAAGAAATGATGCAGAATAGAAAATACACTTACTCTTTACCGTAAAAATTATGCTTTCTTAACCCCAGGATTGGAGCAGTTGGTTGGGTCGTTGGGGATTTCTAGCTCAGGAACTAGAGATTGCTGATTTGAATATCACCAACTACATGCAAACTGCTCTGAGTTAGAGCTACTTACATAGGCCAAAGTTTTGAGTTTAACCGGTTCATGGGGTCGACATAATATTTCATCGGCTTCTAGATAAATGGGTCTCCATTCTCATGCCCCTATATCACACACATACACACACACACTTTAGGAGAATGCTAACTTTACATGGTACTTTTTTATATGCACTTATTCCTCATAAACTAGGTAGTCATTATGCAAAAGATTCTTGTCAACTTAATTGCAAAGAGAACATCCCTCATAACTTTGAAGAATATTACCCAATTAATCATAAGCATATTGTATGAATACCAATTTAGTCCTTAACTTTTCAATTTTGCCAATTTAGTGATGAACTTTTACACGAAATTCTAATATAGTCTTTATAGTCAATTGCTGACGCTGACATGGTGGTGTGCCACTTATGACGGCCGGTGATGACTGGAGTGCTACATCAGTAATTCGGATGAAAATTGATCAAAATAACTTTATTGAAATTTTTCATAAAGGTTTATAACTAAATTATAATTTAGGTCATGTCTAACCTAACAATCACAATTGACATTATATTGTTAACAATTAGCTTGATTATAATGCCCCTCCAACATTTTAATATGAGACCAGCACAAGAAACGGATTTATGACTAGTACCTGATCAATGTTTGTCCATTGGCCATCGATGAAAGGACTCATACCTAATTTATCTTTATCTAATAACTGTTTGTCTATTAACGCCGGAGGAAATGATGGATACTCAAGACAATGGTGATGGTGACTGGTCATGGAACAACAAAATGCAAAAAATCATCCATCTTAATATCCATACATATAACGATGGTGACTTAGATATCAGCACTAGTACCGGATTAATGTTTATATTGCTCGATTGTTTACGAGTCCACATTGTTGTCCTGATTGAGGCGACCGAAATCGGTCTTTTTTTCTTATATAATTTTTACTTTTGACCAATGACGACTTGGAGTTGGAGCCGTGTCCTACAAGTTTTCAGCTTCCTTAGGAATTCACTGCAGAAGAAGAGTGGGCAAAAGACTTCAAGTCACCGCTAGCCCAACTGGCCTCCGACACCAAGGGCCAAGTTGTACTGCATATCAGTGGGTCCCATCTTCACTTACCATTACCATGCTCTGTCCCTGCGAAAAAATGATTCCAGAAAAGCAGCATTTCCCTCGTGCAGGGAGAGAGGGAGAGGGGGAGAGACTGTCAATAAAAAGGAAATCAACTTTTTATCTTGCAAAAAGGATAGCTATCAAAAAACTCAGTTTCGGCAAAAAAGAGAGCTCGTGTACTTTATTAATCTTGTTTTTGGCTCTTTCTTTTGGTTAACCATTATTTGATTCAGTTGATTGATTTTTGTCGATATTACGCTGATGAAAAGAAAACGTAACTAAAAAATAACATGCTTTTGCTATTAACGAGTGTTTTTACGACATATGGAATATTTCGGCATATATGAAAATCATTTACCCTATAATAGATACATTTACCAAGTACAAGTAGTTTTTATTAAGAGTAATGTGCAATCCTATCAATATGTTAAAAAATTATAGGTATGGATTCCTTGTAATATTTTTTAAATGCTATGAGAAAATTAAATTTCATATGTCATACTTTGTCAAGGCTGTTCCCAAATTTGTCCCTACGCAATACTTCCTTAAGAGAACAAAAGGACGAAATGTTAATATACCCATTCTGTTATGGTTAGCTTCCCACAATTCACATTTTTAGCTTACGGTTACTATTACTTTGCCTTTTTTTATTTTTCCGTTTTCACCTACGGTATCTCTCTGGGTGGAAAGTCCTCTGAATTTGATTATGCTGTATGTGAATTTTCTTTTTGAGAAATTAAACTCTTCGATAAAAATTTATGCACTAACCTACCATATAAAATCAATGTGAGAATCTCTCTACAAAATTATGTAATTATTGCCTCTAACCAAAGGGCTGCCTTTAAGGTTGACACGTAGCATTCTAGATAACTTGAAAGGACCTCTCCATAATTGGATTTTATATGCTCTCCAAAAAAATCGTGGCCATCTAGGCTCCACATCAACTAATATTATGCACTACTAACTAGATAGATCATTGGCATAATTGCATAATTAACATTAAACTTATTATACAAAAATTAATTGAGTTCTAAATAATTTTTAATTGAATTAATGTAATCATAAAACTTTGTGAGAAAATATAATCTAGTCATTTCGGTCAAGTCATACTTGATTTATTCGACATTACAGTTCAAGCATCACCGACAATCCTACATGCAATGCCGAGGGGTAACATGGTTTATTTTAACGAAATAATATCATTTTTTTTATTTTAATGATTGTTTCCACGTAATTACATTTTGGGATCGAGTTAGTAATCAAAATGGGTTGAATACGAGTCGGTTACAAAACCCATAGAGACTCACGTGGAGTTGGACTTTCATGTTTTAAACTTATCTTGGGTTGGGTTTTAAAATTTGAAATAACTCATGTAGGACCCATGTTGCTACTTCCCAAACAGAATGGCATCATGTCACGTGGGTGTGGCTTATCCTTGTCCGTCTGTTCACTTTATTTATTACATTTTGTTATATTAATGGTACTTATGACATGGGCGGTGATTTAAGGCCGAGTCATTTTGTTATTTTGACAGCTTGTAATTATATGTTTTTGATTTTTATGAAGCTATATGATGCGCGTGCAATTTAAATTTTAGAAAAAGAAATCAAGCTAAGAGACTATGCAATTCTGCGGCTACGTGGGCTTGGCTTTCATTACTTTTACAATTTTCTCCCACCTAATCAATATTTGTGCATTAGCAGTGACGGGTCATCAAAATAGATAATAACTAACAGGTATGTGGTCCTATTGGTAAAAGGATTAGAGGGGTGGGGATGCTAATATCGCATGTACGGGATTCGGCTCTCGCGCTTTGCAAAGAGGGATAATAAATATGAGAGAGTAAAGAGAGTTAGAGATAAGACATATTAAAAAAATTTAAATAAATAATAAAATGAAGAAAATAATCCATTTCTGTTAGTCATCGTTTACGAGTCCACCGTTCTATTCTTGTCTCGATTGAGCGACCAAGAGCGGTTTTATGTTTTTTTTTTTTACAATTTTTGGCCAGTGATGACTTGGAGCAGTCTGCTACCAAGTTTTTAACTTCCTAAGAAATTGACTGGTGTTTTTTTTGTTAAGGCTAACCAAGCTCTTCCATGCTTATATATTGATTGCTCTTTGACGTCCACTTCATCCTTTCTTGCACTCAAACCATTTCTCGCCTTATTCGTCTCTCGTCTTCGTGCTCTGTTTTGCTCTTTCTTCTCATCGGCACAACTTTTCTTCCTCCTCCTCTTCGTCTTCTTCTTCAGTATCTGCTTCTCTTTTTCATTGTTCTCTGTATTTGTCACCTTGTTTTCTCGTTCTTTGTTTTTCGGACAAAAAAAAAAAAAAAAGATGTCGATCGATTCTGCCATTTCTATTGCATGGGATGTTTTGAAGTACGTAGTTGCTCCCATCAAGCGTGGATTCGGATACGTCATGTCCTCCGAGAGCTACGCCAACAATCTTCGGGAGGAAGTCGAGAAGCTAGAGTACGAGGCTGAGAGGCTCCACAATGCCACGGAAGAGGCTAGAAACAATCTTCAGAATGTCTACAGCCGAGCCACAGAGTTGCAGGCAAGTTCTGAAAAGGCCTCGAAGGAGGCGCGAGACCTGTTGGGGGACTTCGAAAAGGCGACGAAGACTTGCTGCTATGGGACTCTTCCCGACCCCAATTGTCGCTATCAGTTCAGCAGGAACGCCAAGCACAAGATCGAAGACATTCAGCGACTCGCTGGAAATTGCAGGGAACTCCACAACATCTCCTACAGCCGTCCACCTCCGGGGAATGCCGCTGCACCGACTCCGGCCAGGAAAGAAGGCAAAGATGTCATCCGGTCGACCACCGCGGCAGCCTACGCATATTCTGCCTCAACTTCGATTAAGCTTAGGTTCGACTCCAGAGCATCTGTCATACAGGAGATCATGGATGCTCTTGCCAATAACGGCAACAGCGTGGTTGGGGTTCACGGGATGGGTGGGGTTGGCAAGTCCACCCTTTTGGCGGATGCCGAGAAGAGAATAAGGGAAAAAAATTCGTTCGATTGGGTCGCGAAGGCCGACGTGTCGCAAAATCCAGACATCAAGACGATTCAAGAAGAGATTGCGGACTGTTTGGGCCTTAGTGACATTAAGAAGGAAGAGAAAGTCAAATTGCGAGCGCAGCTTCTGCGCGAGAGGTTGGAAGATGAGGAGAGACAGAAAAAGAAGGTCCTCATAATATTGGACGACCTGTGGGAGCGGCTCGACTTGAAATCAGTCGGCATTCCTTGCGGACCTGACAACAAAGTTATAGGATGCAAGTTGTTGTTGACGGCGAGAGAACAACGTGTTTTGCGAAGGGAAATGCTCTGTGACATTGCCTTCCGCCTTGGTGGCCTGGAGGACGAAGAGGCAAAAAGACTGTTTGAGACAACGGTGGGAGGCAAAGTTCGAGTTGAGTTAGAGCCCTTGGTGGGGGAAGCACTCCGCATATGTGCAGGTTTGCCTTTCCTAATTCTCGCGATAGCAAGACTTTTTATTGACACTAGTTACTCTGAATGTGAAAATGCTTTGAAACAAATTTGGGACGAAGAAACCGGTGAGGTGATTGATAAGACATTACGAGTAAGTTATGATCGTATAAAATGCGAGGAGGCAAAGTCATTGTTACAACTTTGTGCTGTTTATGGTGTCTCTAAGCCCTCTCTTGAAAATTTGGTGAGGCATGGCGTGGGTTTGGGGTTATTTGGAGAAGATAATAGCATGAAATATGCTAGAAATAGGTTGAGCTCACTGATTGATACTCTTCAAGCCTCCTCCCTGTTGTTACACAGTGGAGAAGATGATGGTTTCAAAATACATGACTTGGTTCGTATGTTTGTTGCCTCGATCGTTTCAAGAGATCACCCTCTTCTCGTGTTGAAAGATGAGTCAGTTGCAGAGTTGCCGAAGGACAAGCTCAAAAGTTGTGGGGCGATATGCTTTCCCTACGTTGACTTGGAGCAACTTCCCGAAGAATTAGATTGCCCCAATTTGCGAATCTTTATGTTGTTCACAAATAAGAATTCTCTTGAGGTCCCATATTCATATTTCAACTCTATGAAAAATCTCATGGTCTTAAATCTTACCGGGATACGTCTCAGTCGTTCGCCTTCGCCGTTTCAATTCTTGGAGAAGTTGCACACTCTATGTCTTGATTGTTGTTCGTTAGAGGATGTGGCCATTCTCGGCGAGCTAAAACAGATACAAATTCTCAGCATTCGATACTCCTACATTGATCGATTGCCAAAAGAAATAGGGCAACTAACGAAGCTGAGGCTGTTAGACTTGAATTATTGTTCACAACTTAGGACAATTGAACCGGATGTGCTTGGAAGCTTGGTGAAATTAGAGGAGTTGTACATGGAGGATAGCTTTCACCGATGGAATGCTGTGGACCAAACTCCACCAACTAATGCCAGTCTTATAGAGTTGAATAACATGAAGAATCTCTGCACTCTACATGTATCCATTCCCAATCCGAATGTGCTCCCAAAGGATCTAAACTTCCAGCGGTTAACCAAGTACAGAATCCAAATAGGTATTGCGTGGAGCCGGCCGTGCAAAGGATCAAGTACATTGGCGCTCCGGTTGGATCCATTAAGCGATGTTCTTCGGAAAGGATGCATCCAAAGTATCTTAAGCAAGACTGATGATCTGCTTTTGGAGAAGTTGAATGGAAGTGAGCAAAGTATTTGCACATTATCCCCAAAAGGTTTTCCAGAATTAAAGCATCTACAGGTCAAGAATAGTTCCTCCGTCCGTTACATCCTCCAATCGCCATCCCATACAAATTTTAAGGCATTGGAGTCGTTACTTCTCGAGAATCTCATCAACTTGGAGAAGATATGCCATGGCCAATTCTCCTCCAAGTTTTTCAGCACATTAAAAGTAGTACGAGTCGAAAGTTGTGACAAGATGGAAGTATTGTTTCCTCTTTCAGTGGTGAGCGAACTTCAAGAGCTAGAAGAGATCGAAGTTGTCAGCTGCAAGTTAATGCGCGGGATTGTAGAAGCTGATGATTGTGGCAAAGTGGAGTTGCCTAATTTGCGTGTATTGAAATTACGTGACTTGCCAAAGATCAAGAACTTTTTCAACGCCGGGTCAGCTCCTTCAAGTAGTACATCAGACAACCAAGTTAGCACTCAAATCGCATTCTTCAATGGGCAACAGGTAACTATTTATTTACTTTTCGTTTCTTTGCTAATTAGATGTAACACAGATTATGATGGTTATTCAATTTGTTATTTTCAGTTTATTTTCTTCCTAATTACCTTATCAGTTCATTCCTTCTCTGTAATTAGATAAATCAATCTTCCGTTTCTCTTAATTGCGTAGATATCCAACTAATTATATGAAATCCATGTAAATTTAGTTTGTGATAGGTTTTAAGTTATTTCAACTTTTATGTTGCACGTATATTAAGAGGGTTTGGTAAAGCAAAATTGAATGGAATTTGGGCATTAAAGTAATTCCATAAGTAAAGTAATTTCTCATCTTTCACAATGGATTCCGTTGAATTTAGTTATCAAACTTTGTTATTATCCACAAAATGTATAGTATAGGTCACTCTCTTAAAATCAATACGAAGATTGGGAAGGAGGACTGGGCTTTTAAATAAAAGCAACTATGCTAATCTAATTGATGCATGACTTTTGTGAATCTTGTTTAAATAAGCACTTAGTCATTGCATAGGGCCCTGAAATTATATGAGCACAGAATTTTGTGCATGTTCATGCACGCATATAGCATAGATAGATTTATTTGGACGTACTTTTGGCATCACAAACACAGACTTGTGTTTGATATCCTGTTAAATTGGTTACTGATAGTTATTTACTAAAAGGTAAGACAATTTAGTAAACCAGGGACAAACAATTTGCCCAGTTAAGGAAACGCACCACAATTTTGTCAGGCAAAAATTTGCTGCGGCCATTTCGTTGACTAGACTTATAATGTCTGAGTATGACTGTTCTTCCCATGCTTTGAGCTTTCATGGAGAGAGCTCACTTTCAAAGAGCCTTTGCGGCTTTGCTTTTTTTTTTTTTTTGTGATCGTAATATTGTCAGGATGACAATAGCCCATTGAACAAAACACAAAAAAAATTAAAAAACTTGTTGCATCAATGGGAGCAATGGGTGACGGCGAGGTAGATGGGAGATTGCGAGCAACTTTGCAGGCGAAGGATTTTTTCTGGAGTTATAGTAATCAACTTTTGTAAAAGACTACTTACTCTTTACCCCCCCCTTCCCGCCCCCCCGCCCCCCAAAAAAAAAAACAAAAAAAGAGAAACAGAAAATAAAGCTTTACATTGTAATCAGGGTCAATTGGTTCTTTCCACCTAAGATGCTATGGTTTCGTACATGTACGCTGTGAATTTAGATTCGCCCTTAAGGAAATTACGACAATAAGGATGATTAATTAGGATTGGTTATATGACCTTACCTATTTAAGCAAGATCTCTAGGGTCCAGAGCTTTGGAAATTGCCCCTTTTAGTTTTTACATGAAATGCAAGACCAATCTTCTTATGAAACTCTTGTTAAAAAATAAAACATATTTCACAGATGAGCCATTTTAGTTGAGTCATCTAACTCCTTTATAGTATGTATAGATATCTTTGTATGTACTTTTGGCATCACAAACACAAATCCACAATATCCTGTTAAATTGGTTATTGATAGTGGTTTGCTAACATTAAAGAGAAGTCAAGTGAACTAATGATAAACAATTGTGCAATTAAGAAAAGCGCAGCTATTTTATACTAGTACGACCTTTTAGTTGACTAGACAAGATTGCTCCTCTACAGTGGCGTGATGGTGGGGCCCAAGAATCACGTTGTACGATAGTTTCCCCATCAGCGAAGAGTCGTGGAAATTTAAGTTGTGGGTCCCACATGCTAGTGTGTCTGAGTATGACATATCTTCTTCCCATGCTTTGAGGTTCCGTGGAGAGAGCTCGCTATCAATAACAATGGAGGAACTAGATTGGGATTGTTTGCAAAGAGGCTTTGGGGCTTTTAACTATCTAGGGTTCTAAATCTTCAATAAAGAATTACTCTTGCGTTAGTAATTTATTATTATTATTATTATTATTATTATTATTATTATTTTGCATAAAACCTAGATCTGCAAAGATTTATGGGATTATAGTGAATCTCTTCCAACATTGTAAAGTGGTGTGGCGGCAGAAAGTAGCGATCTGAGGTTAGCTTGTCAGGGATGAGAATAGTCCAATGAACAAAACACGGAAAAGTAAAACTTCTTGTATAGGTGGAAGGGACGGGTGATGGAGAGGTAAATGAGAGATTTCGAGTGATTTTGTGGATGGAGGACTTTCTAGAGTTATAGCCATGAACTTTTGGAAAAGACTAGTTACTCTTTACAAAAAAAAAAAAAAGAGCTTTCCATTGTAATCAGGTACAATTGGGTCTCTTCGCCTAAAGTGTTATGGCTTCAGACATGTAAGATGTGGATTTATAGTCATCCTTAAGAATTTGCGGCAACAAGGACAATTAATTACGATAGGTTACATAAGCTTACGGATTTTAAAGGAATATCCAAGGTAATTTACTAATAACAGGGAAAATAATCTCAAGCTGTTTATTTTTTCTCAAGGAAAGTTGGGATCTCAACTTGTGACTATGACTAGTGACTCCTCAGTTATTGCGATATCCCAACTGCCAACGTGTCCAATTTTATGTTATTTTGTGGGGAAATTAGTCCCATTTTGCCTAATAAATTTGGAGAAATTGAAGACATCTAAGAAGGAAAAGACCAAGATATCTCGTGGTCGTAGGCATTAGTGAGCAACTTTTTGGAAAAATTACACGAAATCCCCCATGGAAGTTTTAGAGCGGTACACATTTACTCTTGGACTTTCAACCTTCACAAAAAATCCCTTGAGCCATCAACCCTTTGTCAATTTTTCCGTTTGCGAGTGCCCATTATGTGATTTTTCAGGGGTAAAATTGTAATTTTTTCTATTTTTTAGATGACTCTTATGCCGGGTTCAATAGGAAATTACTCTTTCGCCGCCAACTTGAGGCACTTGTTGAGAAACTAATTAAGAAAAATGTATAGTTTCCAATCAATTAATCGTCTTCATGTTATGCAAAATTTGTGCCTTGAAACTGAATTATTCAGTTACGCGGTGCCCTAGGAGTACTTGTTAACATAATAACTACTACTGCGACTATCATCATCATCATTATTATTTAATTATTATTTCTTGTCATCATACTATTTTTTAGATCATTACATCTTTTCAATTTTAGGAAAAGAATAGTATGATGACAAAAAAATACCAATCCTTCTCTTATTTTCTATTTTTTCGTTGAGTTTAATTAGTTTCCTTTAATAGAGCTGTTTATCTTGTTTCGCATTTTTTATTGAAAATGCCCCACTGCCCCTGGCAAAGTGGGTGTTGCTTGCCTTAGTAACTTGTGGTTTGATTTATCTATGTTATGTAAATTATTTTCTTCTTAATTGAATAAAAGCCCAATTTGATTTTATTTGTGATTTCCCGTTTTCTAGTTACGTAAGTCCTCATTTAATTATTTAGTTTTTTCTTAACTCTTCTTTTTTTAAATTTTCTTTTCTGTTTAGATAAATTATGGTACTTGTTGAAGACTACGATGGAGCATAGCTATGCGGTTTTATCATCCATGGTCCTTTTAAATAGCTAATTGTGGAGGCCATATGCAAAATGAAATACAATATTTTGACATTTCTATGATAGTTTTAAATGCTTGGGATATATTTGAAAGCCTACTAAAATTTTAACTCTTCATGAAGTCAACCATATTATTATAAATTTTTGTCTTAATTTTTTTAAGATTGTTGCTTTTCTTTTACCTTATTTTTCTGTATATATTTTAGACTTTAATTAATTAAGCGTATTAGGAGGCCAAAGCATGATTTGACTAATACAAATACAGAAGAATTGACGAAGATAAAATTCCCACTACAGAAGAAAATAATTAAGCGTATTTGATTAATTAAGCGTATTTGGTTTGTAGATAAAATCACACCTCCTTCTGTAGTGGGCCATTTGATGGTTGAGTTGGTCGCCTCTCTTTAATCTCAATCTCTGCATCATTTTCTTTCTCTTAGCTGCACTTTTCTTCATCAATTTACTAGCTATTTGATTCTTGGGCTGGCAAGAAAAGCACAAAGTGTGATTTGATTATTTTAGTAAATGAACTAAATTGAAGAGAGGAAGAGATTTTATTTACGTTTGGGATTAATGAGAGACTAATGTGGTGATTATAAAATTGTTATTGGAGCATATCCAAATTACCATTTTGCCCATTGTTAACAGAATCAAGTCAGAATTCCTACTTTTTATTTTGTCTCTAGTAATACCAATAGCCTTCTCGTCCGAGAGTCATCAACATGAGTATGGAGATTTTTTTTACTAACTTTTCCTATTTTATTCTTTTTATTTCCTTTAATGCAACTTAAGACAAAAACACCAATTCCGCAAATTCATAATTTACATCTTGGCACTCATCAATATTTGCATCTTGAAAGTTCATGAATTCGTAATTTAACATAATCACCAATTCTGTGAAAGGTTAAAATGAAACAATTTTCAGGCGAATGCTTGGAGCCCTTAGCAAAATCTCAACCCACAGTTAGAAGCATCATGCCAAGATGCAGTCGAGACTAGACAAGATTGCCCTTTTACAATGGCGCGATTATCACTGAAGTTCATGGTGGGGCCCAAGACTCTTGCAATACGTCAGTTTCCCTTGCCAATAAAGAGTCGTGGAAATTTAAGTAGTGGGTCCCACATGCCAGCGAGTCTGCATAAGACTTATCTTCTTCCCATGCTTTGAGCTTCCATGAAGAGAGCTCGCTTTTAGAGATAACGCAACTAGATCGAGGAAACTTTACAAGGAGCCTTTGCTGCTTTACTCTTTTTTTTTTCATCGTAATATAGCTAGGGATGACAATAGTCCAAATGAACGAAACACAAAAAAATTAAAACTTGTTGTATGGAGGGGAGCAATGGGTGATGGCGAGGTAGATGGGGACATTGCGAGCAACTTTGCAGATAAAGGATATCCTAGAGTTATAACAATTAGCTTTTGGAAAAGACTAGTTACTCTTTACAAAAAAAATGAAAAGAGAAGGAAAAACAGAAAAATAAAGCTTTCCATTGTAATTAGGGACACATGCAATGTCTCAGTTTCCCGTCAGTCAAGGGTCGTGGACTATAAGTTGTGGGTCCCACGAGGTACTGCGTTTGAGTACATCTGTTCCTCTTCCCAGTTGTGTGGCAAAGATGATGGAACTAGATTGGGAAACTTTTGGAGAGAGCCTTTGCTGCTTCGCTTTTTCTTAATCGCCCTAATCTTTGGGGTTTTTAACTTTAGCCGTAGTTCTCATTAGACAGTGGCCTTGCATATTATTTGAACTTTTGGGGCCAAAAGTTAAGGTTGAAAAGTATTATTGGGTTTGCTTTATTATATATAGAGAGAGATAAGTAATGCACCACTGGCTAGCCCATTTCTGAAGGAGAAAATCTTCAGATTGGCTGGCTCACTAATTAGATTAAGCTTTGCAATTCAAAGTTATTTGTCCAAGAAAAGACTGGAGAAAGATTCCTTATCTTCGTTTTGGTGATTACTTTAGATAACTTTATGGTATTCTATAAAAAATACTGTAGGAAATTAGAAACGGTATTAGTATGCAGATTTTTTAACTCCTTGGTTTTTTTTTTTCTTTTCCTTTTGTGCAACTTAATAATCCCCCTCTCCCCTTCGCACTCATCTATATTTGCATCTTGAAAGTTCGTGGATTCGAGATTTAACCAAATCACCAATTCCGTGAGCGAATTCCGCAGGTTGCCTTGCCGAGATTGGAGACATTAGAAATCACTCGATTGGATAATCTCGGGTTTATGTTTTCCCCATCCACGGTTAAATCTCTTGCACAACTAAAAAAACTAAGTGTACAATATTGCGAGAAGATGGAGGCGATCATCACGGAGGAAGAAGGGTTGGGAATGGAAACATCAGAAACTTTGTTATTCCCGATGTTAACCGATTTAAGCTTAGAATGGTTGGAGAGTCTAACATGCTTCTCTCGCGTAAAGTGTGAGAATGGATACACTTTGATGTTCCCTCTCTTGGAAGATGTCATCGTGACCAGATGTCTCAACATGAATTCCTTCTCTAAAGGACCAATAGAGGCGCCAAAGCTAAAGAGAGTACGAGTAGCTAGAGATGCAGCAGCAGCATGGTCTTGGAAGGAAGACCTCAACATCACCATCCAAAATATGTTCGAAGAAATGGTACGCATCACTCACCAAATCCTGTGCAATTGGATGGTTTTGACCATGAATAGAATAATCGATTTTTGCTAAGTAGAAGTTTATGTTTAATGATCCAACTTTTGACAGGGTATGTTTGCTGGAGTAAAGAAAATGCTGCTATCTGAGCTCCCCGATCTGATTGGAAAATGGCATAGCGAACTTAATCCCGGCAAGTCATCTTGGCAATTAGAATCACTGGTGGTGGATAAATGTCCATCATTTATTAAAGCAATTCCATCCAAATTGATGCTTGTTTTAGACAATTTGAGCTTTTTGCAAGTGCGCGATTGCGAGTCACTAGAAGAAATACTCGATTTAGAAGGGCTAGAGACTGTGGAAAGCACTCGGGTGCTGCCTCAGCTATCGGAATTGAACTTGGTCAATCTACCAAAGTTGAGGCGACTATGGAACAAAGATCTTCAAGAATTGTTGCGCTTCAATTCTTTATGTGATCTCAAGCTTTATAATTGCAGCAACTTGGGACATGCTTTCACTCCATCAATGACTCACTGCCTTGCCAATCTACGGTGGATTGAAATAAAGGAGTGTGGTCAGATGGAAGGAGTGATCACAGACGGAGAAGGGCAGGGAAGCGCCGTGGAGAAGATTACATTCCCAAATTTGAAATGCTTGACGCTGGAATGCTTGCCCAATTTGACTAGTTTCCTCTTGGGAAAGAATCATACACTGGAATGTCCCAAATTGGAAGAGTTGACCATTGCCCACTGCCCCAAGATGAAAAGTTTGACTTGGCAATCTATGATGGAGATTGACCCCGGCACCCCTTCGCTTTTCACTCCACAGGTCAGTTTTTTCAAGCTAATGCATTTTTGGCATTTCGTATGTAACATACTCTCTTAGAATTGGACAAAAATGCTAGATATAACGTTCGTAATATCAGTCATCGGTGCTTTGCTCGAATTTAGTCGGGACTCGTGTTTCATACCTGAACAAAGATGTATAGAATATTTACCTCCCCACAGGAGTCCATGATCACATCCGTAAATTTTTAATGCAAAACAATTCAGACATTTGGTACATATCTACGGATTCAAAATCATCTAATTATAAGTAAATGTCTAATAACTAGCAGCATTCCCGTGCTTTCTACGGATTTATGTACATAATCTTTAAATCTTTAGTACAGAGATCAAGAATTCTCTGATCCTCAGCAAATATAACTATTAATTGTACATCTCCATATCTTTTTAGAAATGTTAGTCTTGTGTCGGCTCATAAAATCACATCGTGCGCAATACTCTAGAATTAATTAACGAGGTTCTTAAAAAGTTATCACAGTAACCACATAAAAACATTTACGTTTTACAATTTGAACTATAAAGCACTGAACATAGAATAGCATCTAAAATTGGCAAAAAAAGATGTCCGTATTGCCACTTCATAGTTTCTTGCGTAGAAGCAAACTCGCGTCGTTCTATGGAACATGAAGAAAGGGATAAAAGAAAGCTTCATAACTGTAAACACCCAGTTTCACAAATTGCTTAGCTATTACAGCTCATTGTACCATAATCATCTTCCCAATCGATGAAATTGGAGGAATTAGAGAGAGTGGCTCTTTTTAATTGAAGTGCTCTGGACTTCGATAATGATCAATGCAATCAACTTTTTATTTCTTAATATTCACCCATGCTTGACCGGGTCTTGATAAATAAAATAAATAAAAATAAAAAAGGTCGATATGCATGAAGCGGTTTATCTTTTTCGTTCGTAAATCATACTTGAATCACTGTACTCGAATAGCCTATCAAATTACGAAACTGTGTTTTACAATAATTAGTAATTCTGGATTATTGTATTTAGTGATAATTAGTGTGATAATGTGGACAATCTATGTTTGGGAAGAGAAAAAGGTAGATTACTTTTTCTGGAAAAGTAAAAAGGCATAAAAAAGGAAAAAATAAAAGAGAGAAAATGACAGCTGGATAATATTTAGTAGACATTCAGTGGGCGGTTGCCGACATTGCAAGTCATACTTCATAACTAGGTAACAATATTTGGTCAATGTCCTGGCAACATAAAAAAAAAAAGAAGAAGAAATTATCCAATCAACACTACCATTCCGTCTCATGAATACTAAACGCAATAAATGGCGACCCCTCAAGTACCTGAAATGCATGATATTAACCTAAGTTGTTAATAAGGATTGTTAATCGAGACACTTGTTAAATATAATGATAATTTTTTTTATAAAATATAAACAAATACAATTTTAAAATCCTATGATTAATTTATCCATTAAACAGAATTTAGGAGAGGTTATTGTCAAAGTAGAATAATAAGGAATATACAAGTACCCACCATCGTCTAATTTTTTGAAGAATAAAAATCAATTTTCAAATTCATTTTTTGATTGATTAAGTGAATTACAAGCTTATATCTTTACCAAATTTATTTTAGTGCCCCTCCCCTCCTTAGCTTTTTGGACTTTTTCGTTATAGATTCCTTACAAATTTCGATTATTGCTTTCTCTTCTAAAAATGCTTGTGTGTTTTTGTTATTCTAATGCTTTTGCGCAATTTTTTCTATTGTTACTTGCAAGTAGAATGTTCACACATTTTTTCTTCTTAATCGTAATAGATATCACTAATTATTTTTCTACTTCTAATGTCATCTATATGTATGAGCTGTCATGTAATAATAGGCATCCCCACATTCTGAGGATATTTCAAAAAGTAGCCATAACACTCAATCAAGAATACTAATAAATTTGAGAAAGTATGAAAATAGTCGTCTGAATTTTTGGTCATGACAAGTTGTGATAGCATTAATTTCGTTTTGTGTCAAATATGAGCCGTCATGTAATAATAAATATCTCCCACATGGTTAGATAATTTCAAAAACTCATCAAAATCCTCAATTAAGAACATTAATAAATTTAGGGAAGTGTGGAAAGTCATTCTATTTTTTTGGTTGTGACAAATCGTAACTGGGTTAATATTATTGTAACCAAATGAATAATATCAATACTTGCTTCTCAATGGACATTTCGTCGAGGCCATAACACGGTAAAAAAAGCACAGTTGGTTTTCTCCAAACAAACATAATATGGTCATCCACTCTCCTTTTTTTTTTTTCTTCTTTTGGTTTTGCCTCCACGCAAATTGGTTACCTATTACACACACTTTTTGCCAGCGGTTGGATCACTGGCCCACCGCAAGATTCTGTTTTCACTTTTCCACCTCAAAAGTTAATAAATATTATTTCAAGCAAGTCATTAATGGTCCAACGTAGAACTAGTAAATTTGACCCAATTTGCTCTTGCGGAGATCTTAACATACATTTTTTTATTGAAGTCATTACATTGTCTGTGCCTGTTACGAATTTATTTTCTTTCAATACAAAAAATTGTGTACATAATAAAGAAAAAAGTGGTAAACAATTGAAGTTAGTTTTCTTTTTTACTCTTGTTTGCCATCAATTTTTCATTACACTTCTCATTAGTGAACTTACTCATTAGAAGATTTGTAAGTAATGTTCGCAATTAGTATTAGTGTTGAATAAGTAACGGTGCTCATAGTAAATGGAGGAAATAATGTGGAGCCATGCTTCGGTTTCATCCATTCCTTTATCAATATATATGCTGCTTAAATTCTCTGCACACGTTATTCATGGCTCGTCATCACCATGCCCTCGCTTTTTCTCCCCTTGTGATGCATGTTCACCTTGAATCAAATAAATCTAATAGATTCTCTCCTTATCTAATGTTGCATTATCAAAAGATCAGTTCAAGCAACTTTAATAATGACCACTGCAAACAAATCTGACAAATTGGATGTTCATCTAGGAGTGCTCTAGACTTTGATAATGATCAGTGCAAGCACCTTTCTATTTCTTAATATTCACCTAAGCACTCAAGTAAAATGGCCTTCTTCTATTTGTGATCGGCAAACATGAAAGTTTGAGAATCCGAGAAGTCATCATGGCAACTGTCCGATAATTAAAGGGATAACTGATAAGGCGTTGCTAGTATTAAATGTCAATCAAGCCACTTAAAAGCTAATGCGCAATGTACTATTGATTATAAATGCATTTATCATTTCATGCTTGTTGCAATGCAATATACTTGGCCTTATTCATCAATCAACTGAATGAAATGAAAGCATCAATTAGCCCCTCCCTGTTTATATCACTAAGAAGCTCTTGCATTCTCATAATTTGTGAGAGCGAGGGAAGTTTTGAAAATTCCTTCTTTGAGTTCATAACTCAATGTAATCACATTCATTGTGTCATTTTTTTCAATATGGCAGGTACAATTTCCTCGACTTAAGTGGATGGTTCTCTCCCACATGGACAATTTAAGCAAAATATGGACCGACGGTCCTCAAGAAACTCACACTTTTGACTATTTAGGGAAAGTGGAGGTTCAAAATTGTAGGAGCCTTGGAAATTTGTTTCCGCATTGGGTCGCTACAAGTCTTACCCAACTGAAGAAACTTCGAGTGGAGTGTTGTGGGATCGAGGAAATAGTCGCTAGTGGAGATGACACTCCACACTCCAATACTGCTCAAGTTCTTTTCCCGAAACTAACCTCTCTAGTGTTACACGATATGTCACGGCTCAAGAGCTACTGCCCTAATTTGCCCACTTTGAATTGGCCATTCATGGAGGAATTGCGAGTGACGCACTGTGACAAACTGAACACGTTGTCCTTTGCAGCATCCATGAACAATTGGGCTCAAAGAGATGATCAACAGGACCTTTCATGCCAAGAAGCAAAGTCTTCATTTGAGAGGGTATGTTTACAGCTGCTCTCCCTCAGTTTCTACTTTGTTCTTTAAATCGCTCACTAATCTTATATCCACTGCATAATCATGTCACGTTATAATGCTATAGAAAATATGATCTCCCTTGCTTATTAGTTTGTCGACAGCATTAAGATATTTTTAATATATTAAGTATACTTTTCATTTGCGGACACCCATAAGATATTCCATTACCTAGAATTAGAAAAATATTTACAGATTTCTGTTGACAACACGATATATTCCTAATCTAATCTAATGGTGCTCCTTAGGGAAATCAATGAGAATTTGACATGAGGTCCTCCCCATTGTTGACACGTGTTTCTTCGCGAATTTATCTTCTACAAACTCTAAAAAATCAATTAAAACAATTTTTTCAAAACAAAAATAACATTAGCACCTTAATGCCCTATTTTCTATTGTTTTCGTTAATTCCCCTGTCCACTGCATAGTCTTCATATTATAATACTACAGAAAACCTGAAACCCGTTGCCTATGTGTTTGAAGACAACATAAGATATGTCTTACATCTTAAGCACACTTTTAAGTCTGTGGACCCAAAACATTTTACTAACATTTTGAGTGCATCCCATTACATAAAATTCCAAAGATGACAATTTTTTGTTGACAAGATAAGATATTTCTAATAAAAGATAAATTTGGTGAGTTGAAGGGCTCTTGAATTTAGATTCACTCTACCAACATAACCATACCAACCTCTACTTGAGGCTTTTAAAAGCTTGAGATTGTATGTAGGGATCTTTTGATTTGATGAAACGTAAGAAGATGGCCACCTTCCATGTGAATCATCTTAATTAGGTTTACATTTTACAACAAATGATTTATGGCCCAATCTTTGCTGAATTTACTTTTCTCGTTGTGTTGACAATTTGGCAGGACTTTCCCTACTTAGAGAAACTTTTCTTAGTCGATAAAGATGTTCAAATGATGCGAAATGGAAAACTTCCTGATGATATCTTTGGCAAGCCTAAAGCACTAACATTGGCATGCTTTCATGGTGAAAAGGCCGTCTTTCCTCCTAGATTTCTCCTAGAGAGATTTCAGAATTTACAAAGCCTTGAGATCTTTTGTTGCTCCTTTGAAGATATATTCCTTGACGAATGGCTTGTTGACGAGGGAAAACATCCGCTGCTTGAAAATCTAAGAGAACTTAAGTTAAGCAAGCTGCATAACTTAAAACGTTTATGGAGAGAAGACTACTTAATGGAGAAAATTCTTCGGAGTATCAAAACATTTGAGGTTTGGGATTGTCCCTGTTTGACAACATTATTTCCAGCCATGACATCCTTCCACAATTTGTGGAAGTTAGTGGTGAAGAATTCCTCTGGATTGGTACATCTTGTAACAGCTTCAGTGATCACAAATTTAGTGCATCTCATTGATATGACTATAATAGGATGTGAAAGAATGAAAGAAGTAGTGGCAAACGATGGTAATGAAGAAGGAAAAGTGATTTCTCTTGGGAAGCTAAAGGGTTTGACACTCCAAAATCTGCCAAGCCTAGAATGCTTCTCCTCTTCCACAAGTTGCATCTTCACGTTCCCATCCTTGGAATATATTGAAGTGGAAGAGTGCCCGCAAATGAAGATTTTTTCCAAGGGTACGCTAGGCACGCCAAATTTACATTACGTGACACTATTTGGATACAAGTGGAAATGGAACTGGGAGGAGCGTGATCTCAATACAACCATACAAAAGTTATCGGCATGAACAAATATGCAAATGGATTTGGTAAGATCCAATTAATGCCTGTTTGTTTTCGCGCGTATTTTTGCTTTTTTCGCTCGCCTCTTGCATCTCAAATTGCTCGACCCCTAAAACTTTCCATCTTTTTTTTTTTTAAACTTGCCTAACCACTGATGAAGGGAAGGGCAGGGCAGGGCAGGTGGTGAATATGAAGAGAGAGAGAGAGAGAGAAGAGTTAAATGGGAGCCCCCCCGTGGGAGCTGATGGGGCTCGTCGATCTCGCCTCCGTCACTGAAGCGCTTATCCAAAAAGACGAAAGGGATTTTGTCTCGCGCGAGAAGCTGAACAGTGCGCCCTCCCACCATTCCCTGAAGATCATCCACGGTTTCTGGTCATCGTTGTCGTCGTCGCCGTCGTCGCCGTCGTCGGAGAGAAGACGAAAGTGCGACGCCGGAGACGGCACCGCCGAGCCTGGACAGTTCTCCCCACTTCATCAGAGAAGATCTTACTCTCTCTCTCTCTCCCGCATCCGTATCCGGCAAATTCGTGAGTTCACGCTTCTTCACACATCATTTCTCCCGATTTTCTTGTCTTATTGCGCGCGAGTTTTCTCCCGATTTTCGTGAACCTTCCTCGATCGTCGTCTTCTTCAGCTAGGGGCTCTGCCCTTTAAATTCGTTCCACATTCAAGTTTTATCCGTGTTTGAAAACGTGCATTGGACAGAATTGTTGAAACATATTCATGAATACAAAGAAGTTGTGACTAGGGCTCTGTTTCATGTAATAATATCTGATAAAGTTGCTTTAGGGATGGATGTCTCTCAACAAACATCAAGGGTAAATTTCTATTATTAATGAAAGAGGGAATAAATCATGGAACTTGAAAATTTAGAGAGTGTCCATGCCTAGTCGAAATATGAGGAGTCACTTTTACGCCTTGTTCTCGATAAACTCTCGACTGTTCATCATCATGAAGATTTGGAGGGGTGACTTGCGGTTTAACATGTCTTGTGTTTGCTTACACAACTCTCTTTCCGCTGTTCTTTTCAAATTCTAGAATAGTTTTTAAGAAGCCCTTGTTTTTAATCTTGATTGATTTCGTTATGACTGTGGGGATAATATTAACTTCCAATCTATGTTGAAATTTTCTCATAGCAAGTCAAATTAATGAAGTTTACGTGAACTGTCACTAAGGTTGTCGTTTTTCAAGCGTAGAGGGGACCAAACAGTTAGTAGATTGTGAGCTGGTTTCTTATGGCCACACGCACCCAAGGCTTCTCACTGCTCTTAAATCGGCCAACAAATTTCAAACGGAGCATCCCTTTTTCAAGGTGGTGATGAGGCCCTCTTATGTTAAGTATGGCTTAGTAAGATCCCAAGCTTATTTTCTCAGACTGGCATGTTTGAAAATCAAATTTATTAATGCTATTTATAACTTTAATTATACTCTAGAGTATTTCCAAGTTTACTTCATTGTGTAGTAAAACCACATGACATGTTATTTTTCTTTAAGTATTCATGGGTATATGTTTAAAACCAGGTATAGACCTTAACAATGGAGTAATTGAAGCAGGGAAAAGAATGAAAGGACAGTTATTGGGACATAAGCTGGTGGTATGAGGTTTGAAAAGATAACAATCGTCTTCTTTTTTTGTGGATAGATGTGTTGGCAAAGCAATTGCTGAGGCGTCTTAAGAATTAGAATCCAAGTCCTCTTATATGGAGAAATTTGACAATGTTATTCAATGTCGTGGAAGTAGAATAAATATGTGAATTGCACAAGGAGACTATGTTGATATGGACCAGCAAATTACGAAGAATCTTGCTGCCTCCATAACTAAAGAGAAAGACCTAAAAGATAAGAGGGTGGCTTGTCATGATTCTGAAATTTCATTGTAGATCTAATGACTCATAATTTTGTTGTCAAATAGGAGATACTGTTGTATTTTGTTATATTAATCAGATTTGGGGAAAAAAAAGATGATTTTACTTTGTCAAATTGAACGAATAGTTTGATAAAACCAACCGAATAGCTTATGTTTAAATTTTCGATTCCATCCATGTTCCAGTCGTTGATGTTTTTGCTTTTTCCCCTGTGATTGCGGTCTGTGTGGCTGAAATTCATATGTTTTAAATATATATAAGACATGGAAGGCTTCTACTGAATGTGCACCCTATTGCACTCTAGGACTCTAGGAGCATAGATTCTGACATTTGACTTTGGATTGATGACTTCCATTATATGGTTTACTGTCTATCAAAACTCTTGAAACTAGCAAATACTGCCTTAAACTCACACAATGTGTGATTTGATTTCACTATATATTGGTTTTTCAACCATGTACATGGGCAGTCTGCTCCTGTTCAATTCATCACGCAACATATTCAAGAAATCAAGCAAATTGCTACCCTCAGGTATTTAGTTGTTTTGGTTTGGTTTTTTTTTGTTGAGGGTGGGGGTGGGTTGGTTTCTTTTCTGCTGGTTGGCCCACATTTGCAAGAGGAAGCCATCTGCATCTGCATGTGAATACTGATTGATAAGGATGATGTTGTGTTCAAAGTCTACATATTCACTAGTTCTGGTTAGGACTTGATTTACATTGATCGATATGAACTCTAGAAGTGTCACTTTGGCTGGTCCAAAAGGAATTCAATATTCCAAATAATAACTCCTTTATATAGTCTTGATGAATCAAGGAAGTGTACTTCTATGCCGATTGGGTTTATGAGGTTGATAATAATCTAGATGCACACTCATTAATGCCACGTTGCAAATCTGAATGAATCGAAAAGGATGTGCTTCAAGATGTCCGTTTTGGTTTATGCATTCTTATATGTTGTTCTTCTTTTTGAATTTGAAAGCAAGTCTCATAGGCTTATTAAGATTATGGGTTTTATTTTTCCTACAGGGAATGCCAAAGAGGTTCACGAGAAAATACGGTGAGAATCTCTCAAAAGGGTTCATGAGAAAATATGGTGAGAACTCTCGAAAGGATGCTTATGAGAGAATGGTGCAATTATTTGGCCTGTGGAATTGGAAAAATATGGTGAGATGGTTTGGCTATCGAAGGGTTGGAATTAATTTGCAGAGCATTACTCTATCTGTGAGGGCCAATTTTTGGTCTTTAAATCTGAAGAGGACTCCATTTTCCATGTAATCATATTTGATAAAAGCACGTCTGACATAGGATATCCGCCAATCAATGCTGATGTGAGGAACCGAGCCTCGGCGATTGTGGAATTGTCTTGCTGAAAGTGGAAGATGCTGGAGATTGTCATGATGTTTCGGTCGAGCTTTAAGTCTTGAGGGATGGATTGCATTCAGCCAAGTGTCCTCGGCTTTGTATGGCAAGGGAATTTGATCAGGTTTGCGAAGTTCACGGCGGTTCCTATGCACATTCATCAGCACAGAGTTTGGAAAGGAACAGAAGTTCAAATTGCTCATCATTAGATTTTCCAGGTGTGAATCTTAATACATTAACTAATTCTCCCCTTGACTGTGTTGTTCTTGTGTTTGATTTGAATTCCTTACAGGAACTCTCCACGTTGTCAGGCTAAGAGAAATTATTTTAGAGCTAATTCATTCTCGTTGTGTTTCTCTGTCTCTAGTCCTCCCATGTGTGCATATGTATGTATTGTGGGATCTCGTAAATGTCAAGCCAATGGAAACAATTCTTACTGGTCATATTGGATTTGATTGTGATGAGAATTGTATTGGTGTGCGTATAGGCCTCAGGAATCTAGACCATTAGTAATACTCAGATCTATTGATTTAGGGTTGCTATGTCAATAGATTTGAGTTTGACATACAAGAATAGAATATGCCTGGAAAGCACAAGCTTTCTTCATGTTCTTTTGCGACCGTTGCAGGTAAGCTGAAAGAGCCAGGCTTGTGCAATGCTTTTGAACTTGCCAGCAAATATAAACCACGAGTATCCTTTCTCCAAAATTGCGGTGAGGTGAATACATCTGAAGAAAAACAATGTGGTAAGATCCTCATGACAATGACAACTCTTGGATTTAAATTGCGTAGAGTCGCTAGACTGTGTTAGCTCTAGGTTAACCGTGCATCGCGTCAATAGTTTCTGTTATCCTTCACACGCTTTGAAATGGATCCTCGTACTGTCTTCCTCAGAAATCATTGGTTGTTATCTTCTTTCTGATGACAAAATCGTGAAATGTCTGCTTGAGCAGAGAGTTCCTGGTTCATTCCCAAAGACGCACATTAAGAAAAGCCCGCAGACCGTGGCTCATATTTCAAGACAAATCATGGCCATTGAAGCTCATCATCCACGAACATTATGGAAAGTTATCTGCCTGTTGGGATGCATTCATGAGAGAAACTTCTCTGAAGGTGGAAGACGTGTGTGTTCGAGCTTTATCAAAAGGGACGATATTGTGTTCAGAGTATCCATCTTCAGAACCACTGATAAGACTTGGGTGAATAATACACTATGCAATACGATATAGCAGAAAAAGCTTCGCTTTAGCTCACTTTTGGTGAGAACAGAACTTATAGAATTGCTAGGCTGAATTCTGCTTCCGATTTGGCAAAATGGATAAAAGCATGAGTTTTGTTCTAATGAATGCAGTGGTCCTGAATGTGTAAGATACCTTTCCTTGATCCTAGACTTAATAATCACTATGTGGGCAAGAGTCATAAGTCAGGGGAAGCTGATTGCCAATGTCGATTCTACAACTTCCGTTTCTGGAAACAAACACTCGAGTTAGGTGCTTCTTTAAGGTTTCTGGTTGCTCAACCTGACCTTTAGAAGACCTTTAGAACTGTAAAGTGTAGTAATGTTGAATACACTTCCCTTAAGCCGTATACCAACTCTGAATTTCAAGGCACAACCCATGGTTTTACGAGCTCCACGGAGCTTACCTCAGATTCTTTTCATCGTCTCTTTTCGAATTCTCAAAAATTTTACGAGTAGTCTTTTCGTGTGTGGGCTGCGCAAATTGAAGTTTTATTGTTTTCTTCTCATGCGAAGAGCATTCAGAATTCTGTGTGTCAAATTAACTGAATCATGATATGAATGGCAAAGCAATTTCCAATCTATGCTACATCTTGTCATGGTTAGTCAATGTCGCGACCTCCCCGAACCGGCCCCGCCTCCTAAGGTGTTTGGCTAATGGATTACTAAGTTAAACCTAGCTCGAGCTCTCCCAAGCCCATACCAATTCGCGACTGAAGTTTAGGTTGTTAACATACAAATCAATTTCATCTAGGAGTCGCCACTAGTCAGTTTTTGGTGGGTCGACTAGACACCCAAGTGAAACACGGGAGAAATGCTTCACTTCTACGAACCAGAGATTCAATGGGTACGGGGACTTGATTACACTAGCGATCTAACTAGTGCCCTTTCGGTACCTAAACTTGAACATTCGCAAACTAACATACCGGGTAGCCTATCGAAAAGTCTAAAGCTCGTCCTAACCATGCTAAAAATGGAAAATAACAACCGATGTATTTAAAGTGCACAACCAAAATAAACAACCGGCGACCTATCATCGTTTCTAGAAAGGAAAAGGCAATCAAAAGCCCCAAGGTAAAACCCTAATGGCTTGTCCGATTTTTGAGAATTTTTTAAAGGATTTTCTCAATTTTTACGAATTTTAAACTAAGCCCAGAATGGAATTAAAACTAATATCTAGTGAAATCAGGGCCAAAAAGTGATTTTTGAACATTTCCTAATTTTCTGGATTTTTGGAATTTTTCAGAATTTTTTAATTTTTTTAAATGTTTTTTAGATTTTTTAATATTTTTTTGGGTTTTTAAACATTTTCGGATTTTTTTAAAATTAATTTTTTAATATTTTTTATTAATAAAATAAAAATCCGGACCAGGTCCCATGACCGATCCGCCCGACTACTTGACCCGACACTCAGTCCCGCTCGGGATCCCCCTTTTCCCTATTTCTTTTCTGATTTTTTTTTAAATTTCTTTTCTCCTCTTTAATCTTTTATTCCCCTTTTATTCTTTTTTTCTTTCTTTTGGTCTTCTTTTTCTTTTTCTATTTTTTCTTTTTTTGCCTTTTCTCTTCCCCCTGCAAGCCCATGCACGTCCTTCTATTCCTTCTGGTTCTTCACCGAGAGCTCACCAAGAACGTCCTTTTCTTGGTGAAACGTCGGCAACCCAAACTTCGAACCAAAACCGGTCTCTTCGACTGGCGTTGACAACGAATTTGCTCGGACCGAAATCGCAACCCCCCATCATCGAACCAAAGTCCCTAAGCCAGCACCACCGGCCATTAAATCGCTAACAGCGGCGACGCATTTTAGCTTCCCGGCCATCAGACTTTCGGCTCCCCAAACAACAGACCTTAAGTCTGAACAAACGAGCGTGAACACGCGTAAACCGAAGATAGAGAGCTAACAGTTGCGGCCTCAAACCGCGAGCATCACCGGTGACGAAGAGCTTTCCGGAGCAAGGGAGTTGTGTACGCGGCCGACTCGAACCAAGGTTAATATGCCACGAAATCACATGAAAGACAAAGAGAACATAAAGTCAGTGACAATATTGGAAGAGCTCGTGCATAAATCGAAGCTCCAGAGCATCCGTTTCATGAAAACAGATTCGCATTCGCTTGGGCATTTTATCAAACAAGTGGTGAGCGAGCTCAAAAACAAGTTTGGGGCCGAGCTTCAACACTATTCTTTTACTCAAGCGTGATATGCATAGGTTTAAATAAGCTCACTACACCATAAACTCGCTTCAGTTTACAATGAAGCATCCACAAATCAACACGACCTGGTTTGATGTTCTAACCCTAGACTGTCTCGTTAGTGCGGTCGAAGATTGGAATTACAGGTCCGATTTTGAGAGAGCTCACGGCCTATTTTCCACGTATAACGCCTAAATCGACTTATTCGAGCGTGAAACAAGTGTAAGCCTCCATGGACGGGGCCGGGCGACCACCGAATAGGCTCGGTGTGCCCGGCACCCGAGAGGCAGGGGAGGAGGAGGCCGAAACAGGGGAAGTCGAAATCCTACCTGTTCGAGGCTGGCCGGCGGCAAAGCGGCGATCGGAGGCTCGTCGGCGGTACCTCAGGGTCTCCTTCAGGCGGATGGGGACCCTCTGCTCTCGTGTTTTTCCCCCGAACTCCCTCGGCCTCTTCCTTCTCTTCTCTCTTTTTCTTTCTCGGTTCCTCTGTTCTCTCTTTTGTTTTTTCACACTCCCCTCTCTCGGCTCTCCTTCAAACCAGCTCTTCTTTTTTCTCCGTCCCTCTCCCGCTCTCTATCTTCCTTCTTCTGGATGTGCCTTCATCCCCATAAAAGAAGAGGGCAGAGTCCTCTTTTTGTCTCCTGTGAGACTCCTTTCTTCCGTGTCCTTTCCCCCTTTTCTTCTTTTTCGCAAGTATCAGAGGGAGAGTCACGGGGAAGAGCTCCCCTTTGTCTTCTCTCTCTCTGCTTTTTGTTCTGGCTTCTGTCCGCTGCGTTCTTCCCTTCCCCAGGTCAGCGCACGGCACAGGGCTAGGAAAGTGAAGTGGGCCAGCGTTGACTAATTCAACGCTGGCCTTTTTTTTTTTTTAATTTATTAATTAACTAATTTTTTTAATTTAATTTTTGAAAATAAACATGAAAAATATGTTCTAATAGGCCCTATTAATGCAAATGCACCTATTGTCTACATGCCATACAATTTAAAGAAAATATTTTTGTTTAGGGATTAAAAATCAATCCCTAATTTTTCATGCAATTAAACCCTAAATGAATAAGCAAAATTTAGGTGTCAACAGTCAATTAAAGAAAGTTCTACGCCAATGTCTACTAAATTCTCTCATTGTTCAACTATGGAAAAAGTATTTCAAGTCACCCACCTTACCCTCGGCCATGCCCTCAACTAATATGATTATGGCAGGATATATGGATAAAGGTCTCCCGGTGTGGAAGGAGTGGCTCTGCTATTTCTATTTATGGTAATGGGAAGTCGGTTAATTGAATTGATCCCTATCCCTACTGGTCTTGGAACTAAACAGGAACCTGGCCCGAAGGACCACATCCGTCTCAAGCTCAAGCTCACCTGACATATCGGATCTAATATGATATGTCCGTTAGAAAATTCGAAAGACGTTAACTGAAATGAAAGATGACATCGATAATTTGGACATGCAAGTATCCATGTGGAGTCCACATTTCATCGACATGACAACTATATTAATAATATACTTGTCACATAATCGTATTATCTTTTGTGCATGGAAAAGAGATTTATCGCGAAAATATGCATAAGAATTAGAGATGCGGAATCGAAGATTTTCTAGGTTTAGAGATTTCTTAGAGTGACCATAAAAGGCAAATTGTTTGGCCTTCAACTGACATTGCCAGGTTCGACTCCCCGATCGTACGAACGTAGCCTTACCATCCATTGGACTTTGGTCAACCGCAGTACGCCTCAGATGACTCTCGATCTTAAACATACTCCATCGAAGCGACACCAAATGCTCCTCACATGTGTCCGGACCATCCGTAGTATACCTTTTTCGGACCCTCACTTTGATGCCTGTGGTCCGAGGAAAGTGCCGATGTTACATGAAGGGTGGTGATGATTTGGCCCTTCCTCCGGACATTGGGCCGTGACCAGGATTCTAACTTAGATCTCTTCTTGCTTTCTCTGGTTTGGTTGCTTTAGCTTCGTAGTTCTGACCGTACACTAACTTGGTGGCACTTTCGCGCGGCTCATTATATAGATTCGAAAGAAGTCAAATTTCAATGTGAAAGCTACAGAGATTTGGTATGTTTGCTGACAACAGGGTTTTTGCTGCAAATTTTTGTCGCGACATACCCTTTAATTTTGAGCCTTTATCTGTCAATACTTTCGATTTTTCCATAAATTGACTCGAAGCACACACAAAAAAAAAACATTCCTTGATAATTTCAAGTTTTGAGCTTAATTGGGAAAATTATTAGGCTCGTGTCGTGTCATTTTCACGTTCTTTATAATATCCAACATATACTTCCTATTGTTAAAGGGAAGTTCCGTTTTATTTCCCACAACTTAAAATTCCTAAGAAATATTATTTCAATCTCCCTAGATTTATAACTGAATATTTTACCCAATTCCATTCCCGATTATCAATATGTCACCAACATAAATTAAAGAAAAATCGTGATAAATGAATTTTCCTTTCCATAAAGTAAAATAGGGAATTATCAAAAAAATCAAGAATAATTGTTAACATCCGAAAAATAAAAAACGGAAGAAGAAGAAGATCCGTTAGGTTTTCCATTTCTCAGCATTTCTTCTTGCATCGGTCACCATCGCTTCTTCTCCAACTCTCTATCTCCACCCTCGAGCCGAGCTGCACCGCCCATCTCCGCCTCCGACCGCTGCCGCATCCACACCGCCGGTCGCCTCGGCATCCGGCAATCAGCGCCGCCCCCCTCTCTCTCCCCGCCTCCGGAGCCCCCGAACCCTAGGCTCCTTGCTTCGGTTCGGTTTAACCGGGATTGTGGAAGATGGACGAGGACAAGGAGATGGAGAGGTTCGATGGACAACGATTACGACGACGGGCAGTGAATCGACGGGGAGTTCTACTACCCGTGGCGGAGGGAGAAGCGGGCGCAGACCAAGGAGGACGTGCTCTACGGCGTCTTCACGTCGGGGGACTCCGATTCGGACTACGACGAGTCCTCCAAGAGGAAGCGGAGGAAGAACAAGGGCCTCCTAGGTAAGGCTGATCTGTCGAGACCCGTGAATTTCGTGTCCACCGGCACGGTCATGCCGAACAGAGAGATTGATGAGAATTCGAAGAGGGAGAATGAGGATGACGAGTCTGCTGCCATGGATGTGGATAGGCCGGGCTTGGGGGTTGGTGCTGCTGTGGGTTTGGTGTTTAAGAAGCGGGGAGGATGGTTTTGATGAGAACGGCGAGGAGGGGGAGGAGGAGAGTTTCTTGCCGACCGCATTTGGGCGGAAGATCAAGGAGGGAGCGGAGAGGAGGAGAGAGCAATCCAAATTGGAGAGATCAAGGAGGGCGGAAGAGTTTCTTTATGATTCGGGGAATGTGGGCGGCTTCGAGAAGTATAAGGGAATTGGAATGAAGTTGCTTGAGAAAATGGGTTACAAAGGGGGCGGTCTTGGGAAGAACCGGCAGGGGATTGTGACCCCCATTGAAGCAAAGTTGCGTCCTAAGAATATGGGTATGGGTTTCAACGACTACAAAGAAACTCCTGCAAAGGCACCTGTTGCCTCACCGGAGCCAGAGGAAAAGTAGCCATTACCTGATGTGCCCGGCAGTAAGGAGAGGCTTTGGTCTAAGCAAGCGAAAACGGCGACACTGAAGAACAAAGCGAAATATGTTACAGCAGAAGAGCTGTTGGCGAAGAAGCAGGAACAGGGGGGTGTTGAAGTTGTGCAAAAGGTACTTGACATGCGTGGACCTCATGTTAGGGTATTAGCAAACTTGGAGAATCTGAATACGGAAGAGAAGGCGAGGGAGAGTGGCATTCCGATGCCCGAGCTCCGGCACAATGTAAGGTCGATTGTGGAACCGGCCGAGTTGGATATTCAGAAGATCGATAGGGATCTGAGGAATGAGAAGGAGACAGCTCTGAGCTTGCAAGAGGAAAAAGAGAAGTTGCAAGCCGAGACAGAACTCCAGAAGAAACAGCTGAATTATACTCTGTTTATCAGAGTATTTCAGTGATGGGATCCTCTTCGGAATCCCTCACATGGGTTGGAAGTTGTTTCACGGTGGAAATCTCTATTGCGCAGGCAGTATCTTTTGGAGTTGCCTCTGACTTATTGCAGCCGGTTAGACCAAGTGAATACGAACCAGATACCATTCGGGGACTTCGTTACGCAAACATTTAAATAGCACATTTTGCGGTTCCTATTCTTATTTTATTTTGAAGATGATAATCATGCGGTATTGTCTATTTTTAATTCAAAAGCACGCTTAACTAAGTGACCCTGCACCAATGGTTGCACGATCAACATTAATTCAAACACATAAGGCAATCGACGCATCAAAGCAAGATAAGAGATATATCAAATCGAGATAGGGTATGAAAGTAGAGACTATGAAAGTTAAAGTGAAGGATAGTAAAACCCCATACACTTTTGGGCAAATAATATGTACGTCACCTTGTTATTAAACCCTGAGGTAGGAACCACGTGAGCTAAGTTTGAATCTAAACATGAAAATTTTCTACCTTAAACAATGATAATGGGACACTAATAAAAATAGGATGCGGTGAAATGTAACACTCAATTTTGTCAGGATAACACTCAAGTTTAAATCTGAATGCAACTTCCATTTTTGGTCATTTTCTCATTTATCATTTTTTCGTCATTTTTTGTTGACAATAAAGAGTATTTTCCTTGTTAGGATACACAATCACGGTTAATATGCAACTAACTAGCAATGGGGATCAAAAAGAATATACAAACTACACGTCTTATTCATAAGTTCATAACAAATATCTTAGTAGAATAACATCAAAATGGACGAGCCATTTATCCAGGTCAGAGTCAAGACAACTAAACCAAACTCTACCATCGGATCCCCTTGAATGAATGAATGAATAGGACTGTTTGAACGCATGATTTTTTCAGAAGAGGTCCGTACCTAGGCCTGACAAAGGTAGTCACCCATCATTCACAAATAATACCTATAGTGGCTTATCGACTACTTGTGACTCGGATATCTCTACATTATATAGTGTCGAAAAATCCACAAGGATACATCCTCAGATCTCCATGATTTGTAATTCCAGAGAGTCTTTATGCTAATCTGCTGTCACTAAATACATGTATACAAAAGAAACAAATACATCAAATGGCCTATAATCAATGACGACGTTGCCCAGGAGTGAGCTTTAGGAGCTCACCAATTTCCTACACTGCAATATAACAGAATGAAACAATGCATAATATCGATACAAATAACCACGAAGCAAAGCAGATCCAAATAAAAATTCATTCAACCCGCTAAAACACCAGAGCACATAATTAACAGATCGAACTTGACAAGACCGAATTATTGACTAATTACCCTCATTCCCAAATGGAATAACAATGTAGAGAACAGCGGTTAAGCTACGTAACAATAGGTCGCCGATCAAAGTTTATGAGGGCAAAGAGTGTCATTGAATAGCAAAAGCAATTACTACTTTGAAACAAGACGATCATGTGCAGATTTTTTGAAGGATTGCTTACCCTTTCGGACAAAAGAAGGCAGGAAAAGGATGAAGGAGACATGAAGCTTTCTGAGGCTAATACCAAACATTACAAGCTGAGTTAATCAGAGTAATAACAATGGTCCTATCCTGCACCTACGTTATTATGTCTAGCGTATGTCTAATGTATACCTCACTTTTCTGTGCTTATGTTGATACCGTAGTGATAGCACCTGAAAAGGAGACTTGAGTAAACACCAATTAAATCTGTGACCACGCAAACTATCCACTCCTTGATGACAACGCATTCAAATAATGCAACCGACACACTGCATTAAGATATTAGTGACTGCAAATCTGAAAAGGCAGGGGATGAGGAAGTACTTTGGTTGGAGGAACGAACCCGAGATGTTACACAGTTCATGAGCAACTCTCATTTCGTACGCGGTGGACGATTCTCGTGTCCGATAGATCCTGAGGGTGATGAGCGATTTAACGAGGCCGGATCCGTAAAGCTTCCTCCAGGTGGGATGGGGGACGCCTGCATAGCGAAATTGAATGTCATGAACTCCACGACAGGCCTGAGACCACAGAAAGCAGCGCCGACTTCAACTCCAGCGAAACCAGCCTCTGTGATTGGAGAATCAACAACCCTCTCAGGTCCATACTTGTCCGGAAAAAAAAGAACCTTTAAGACACCTTGTAAGGCTCCTTGGTATCATCCGACCTCCTCCCCACCCATTAGAAAGACTGACTTCTGGATCTGCAGGCATTTCCTCATCAAGCGCTGTATTAAGATCCTCTCTCACAGTCGTCTCTTTCGCTGCGGTAGCATAACTCTATAACCATGTCCCTGCGGCAAAAACTCTTCCACAACCTCTCTCTCGATGACACAGCATCCGAGCCTCCAGCAGTTGCTTTTCGTCTTATAATTGACAACATCTCGCGCTCTTGAACTAGAACTTGCTCTCACCACCGGATAAAGCTCGCCGATTCTCTGTGTCTCTTGAGCAGGTAGTCTTTGAGACCAGCTTCGTCATTCCATCGAACTCCTTCCTTGCGAACTCGATACCTCCTCCACAGTGCAACCGACAGCAATGGAATTTCTGGAAGACGGCGAGAGGACGGGAGAAAAAAAAAAGCGAAACATAAATCAAAAGACAAAGTTGGAATCTATCGAAATGAATTCTAGAGTTCAATCGGAGATGAAAACGAGCTGGTAAGTGTGACTGTTGATCGACGAATTCCGTTATCTCCTGAATGTCGCGAGGAACTGTGGAGATTTCTCTAGGCGTATCTTCCTCTGTTTGTTGTTTCAAAATCGTCTCGCCCTCTGTTCCTCTTTTGCGCAATTCACCGAACACCTTCTGCTCGGAGAACGCAGCACGTTCAACGACCTGTAAACTCCGGTGGTCAAGTTCGACCGTCGAGGCAGCGGCTAAACAATGAATGACGATCCTTTCGAAGATAGATGATGCGGTGGGAAGGTGATCCTCATCTCTCTGTCCATCTTCATTTTTTCAACAAAGTCTTCCTCCATTATTATTTTCTCTCAAGCTCACCGTCTCCACCATCACTATCGTCAAGCTCTTTCATAGCCTGGCTGTTCAATCATGTACAAGCGCAGTGTGTCCGGGAGGATTCATCAAGCAACATATTCAGGAAAAGCAAAAGAGCAACTCTGAAGTATTCTGACAGATCATAGCCAGTGAAGCTCGTTAGGAGCTGCAGACGCGTCAGAGGGGCTATGTCTCTGTCCTTTCTTCTGGTTGACGTGCATTTCCGAGAGAAACTCATGCATGCAAGAAATGTTTGTGTGCTCGAGCTAATTGATAGGATGATATTACATTCAAACTCTCCATTTTGAGTGGTATCAGTAAAGACTAGATTTACCCACCCATCGCTCTCAGTTCCTTTCACGAGAGGTCTGGGTTCAAAACTCGTCCATCGGTGATTTAAGTGGGGGGTCGTGGCGGTGGGATGTTGCGCTAGCCCCCCTCGAGGACTAGTCGGGTATCACCGCTGGTTTGAGCCCTAGCTCGCCGGCCGCGCGGACACCTCGATTATCAAAAGAAAAAAAAAGAGTAAAGACTAGATTTGCATTATTTGAAATGAGTACTCCAAGCGGCACTTTCGGCTGGTTATGCCTCCCATGTTTTGAGTTCTGAGTCTACAATTATGCCTCCCATGTTTTGTTGTGCTGCATCACTAACAAGTACACTTTCTTTTTCTTTTTTTAAATTTAAAAATACACTCAAAATCGTTTTAATAAAACTTTTGTGGTTTGATTGGTACGTAATGAATTCTAGTTAGTTTGTCTCTTCTTAGTTGAAGACACTTGTAACATGTATTCCATTAAATTGTCTCAATTTTGATTGTTATGATAATTATAATTTCCAATCTCTATAGAAATCCTTTCATAGTAAGTCTATTGACGAAACGCTTAGACTAAAGACTCATAAAGTTCTCATTTTTAGTTTCGCGTAAGAATGAACAATCTAAACATAAAATTGGACATCTCCAAAGCCGGACCATTCTAAGCCGGTTTTTCCTGGTCCTACACCTCCAAAGCCCCTCACTTCGAAACATCCCTTATTCAAAGTGGTGATACGGCAAGATCATGAGAGTAAAGTGGTTAGATCTCTAGCCTAATTCATTACTGGCATGTCTCAAGTTCAATTACAATTGCTATGAATCGTTTCCCGATATTATGTTTTCCCAAGTTGATTTGGCTTGTATAGGGAACCATATGACATGTTATTTTTCTCCAAGTGTCTATGGGGAATCCTAATGATGGAATAACGCGGAACCCCGAAAAAATGAATAAGTAAAGATAGTAATCGGGTCGGGACTGCCTTTCACTTGGTTATTCTCCACAAGCTGCTCTATTTACTGTTTAAGTGAAAGAACGGGCACTCACTTAAATGGTGACCTAATTGAAAAAAGCTATTAATGGACAGCCACTTCTTCAGGAATGCTTTAGATTGCAGGTTAAGATCGATGACTTTCATGAGACTATTAAGGCTGTTGTTTAAAGCTCCTGAACTAGCAAATATGGGCATGAATCTACATCATGTGCTTTTTTCCACAGTAGTGTATGCTTTATGTGATGTCCTCCTTTTAGCATACAGTGGTTTTTCCACACATGTAGATATGTGTCGGACGTTCCTGGTCGATTTGCAAAGCAACATATTCAAGAAAACAAGGAAATGGCGACTCTTAGGTTTTCAGAAAAATCGTGTCTGGAGAAGTTCTTAAGCTACATGCATGAAACGTGGATATTCTTCTCTGCTAGTTGGCCTATTTTTGCAAGAGAAAGTCACCTGTGTATGGGAAAGATCTGTGTTTGAGCTCATTGATAGGGATGATGTTGTGTTTCATGTGTCCTTTTCAGTAGCTGGTAAGGAGCCAATTCACATTGATTAAGATGAACATAGGGAAGTCTTGCTCTAAGCCATTTGTATCGTCGATCTGAACTCAGGATTCCTAATTATGCCTCCTTTGTTCAGTAGCTGGGAATCAATGAAAAGTAGACTCTTTTTCTGTTTAAGTTTTCTTCTTTTGTATCCTAGTCTCAATTCTGTAACTTCCAGTTTAGAAGAAACTCTTATATTTGGTGCTTCTTTAAGTATTTTAGTGGCTCAACCTGACATATAGAACTAATGAAGTGTCATGATGTCAATTAGACTTTCCTTGAGCAACCAGTGGATTTACCAGGTCAGTTTCTTCTTGCATCACATTCTTTTCTTCGTCTCTTTTCAAATTCTTGAAGATTTATGCAAGTATTTTTGCCTGTCGGTGCAACTTGTAGTTTATTAGTTTCTTCTGATATGAAGAGCATTTAGCACTTATTCCATCAAATTAACTGAATTTTGATTTTCATGATAACAGTAATTTCCAATCTATGAGAAATCTTTTCATAGCCTGTCAATAAAAGAGATGTTCACACCACCGTCTAGTTTAGTTCTTGTGTTTCACTACAGGTGGGATCGAGCATTCTACATGCAAAGTGAGCCATTCTAACCCGGATTTTCATGGTCCTACACTTTCAAGGCCTCTCCCATCTCCTACATTGGCCAGTGATGTTGATTCGGAGCAGCCCTTTTTCAAACTGGTGATCCTGCGATGTCTTACCAATAGCCCACTAAGATCTGGAGCTTAAATCATCGCTGTCGTATCTCATGTTCAATTTAACAATTTTCAAGTATAAGCTGTTCAAAACATGTACATGTCCAAGGTTCTCCGGTTGGATTCGCCAAGCAACATATTCAGGAAAACAAACAAATATCATCTCTTCAGTTTTCGGCCAGATCTGTGGGCAGTGAAGCTCATTAGGAGCCATGGACGGGCCAGAGGGACATAGTATCTGTCCTTCTCTGCCGATTGGTGGGCATTCGCGAGAGAAAGACATTAGTCACAGCTTCTTGTTAGACATCAATCACAAATAATACCTCTGATGGCTTATCGACTACTCATGACTCAGGTACCTTTACATAACTGTGCTTTTTCCCCCATGTAGTGTCGAAATATCCACGAAGATACTTCCTCAGATCTCCATGATTTGTATTTCCAGAGAGTCTGCATGCTCTAATCTGCTGTCACTAAATACATGTATACAAGAGAAACAAATGCAGCAAATGGCCCATAATCGACGATGTTGCCCAGGAGTGAGCTTCAGGAGTTCACCATTTTCCTACACTGCACTATTACAGAAGGAAACAACATATAAGATTGATACCAATAACCATGAAGCAAAGCAGATCCAAATAAAAATTCATTCAACCGCTAGAACAGCAGAGCACATGATTAACAGATCGAATTCAACAAGACCGAATCATCGACCAATTACCCACGTTACCAAATGGAACAACAATTTAGAGAATAGCGGTTAAGCTACTCAACAATAGGTCAACAATCAAAGTTTATGAGGGTGAAGAGTGTCATTGAATAGCAAAAGCAATTACTACTTCATATCAAGACGAGCATGTCCAGAATTTGCGAATGATTGCTTACCCTTTCGAACAAAAGAAGGCAAGAAAAGGACGAAGGAGACGTGAAGCTTTCTGAGGCTAACACCAAACATTACAAGCTGAGTTAATCAGAGTAATAACAATGGTCCCATCCTGCGCCTACGTTATTATGTATACCTCATCTTTCTGTGCCTATGTTGATACCGTAATGACAGCAACTGAAAAGGAGACTCGAGTAAACACCAATAAAATTTGCGACCATGCCAACTATCCACTCCCTGACAACAACGCATTCAAATAAAGCAACTAACCCACTGCATTAGAAATTAGTGACGACAAATCTGAAAAGCAAGAGGATGAGGAAGTACTTTGGTTGGAGGAACATACCAGAGATGTTACACAGTTCATGAGCAACTCTCATTTCGTACACGGTGGACGATTCTCGCGTCCGATAGATCCTGAGGGTGATGAGTGATTTAACGAGACCGGATCCGGTAAAGCTTCCTCCAGATGGGATGGCGACGTCCTCGCAGGGCTTGGGAGTGTCGGGCACCAACTCCTGCTGCAGCTCCTCTTGAAACTAAAGACACCTTGTAGGCTCGACTTCAACTCCAGTGAAACCAGCCTCTGTGATAGGAGCATCAACAACCCTCTCAGGTCCATACTCCTGCAAAAGAACCTTTAAGACACCTTGAAAGGCTCCTTGGTATCCTTCGACCTCCTCACCACCCATTAGATTGACTCTAGGATCTGCAGGCATTTCCTTATCAAACGCTGTATTCAGAGCCTCTCTCACAGTCATCTCTTTCACCGCAGTAGCATAACTCTGTAACCGCGTCGCTGCAGCACAACTCTTCCGCAACCTCTCCCAACACTACACAGTATCCGAGCCTCCGGCTTTCGTCTGAGAATTGACATCTTGTGCTCTCGAACTTGAACTTGCTCTCGCCGCCAGATAAAGCTCGCTGATTCTCTGTGTCTTGAAAAGGCATTCTTCAGAACAGTGTCCGGCTTCGTCATTCCATCGAACACCTTCCTTGCGAACTCGATTCCTGCTCCACAGTGCAACCGACGGCAATGGAAACTCGGAATACAGCGAGAGAATGGGAGAAAACGAAAGCCGAAACAGAAATCAACAGACAAATTTGGGATGAATCTAAAATATTTCTAGAGTTCAATCGGAGACGAAACGACCGGGTAAGTGTGACTGTTGATTGAGAAATTCCGTCATCGCCTGAATGTCACGAGGAACCGACTGCCTGTGGAGATTTCTCTAGGCCGTATCTCACTCTGTTTGTTGTTTCAAAATCAAAATCGTCTCACCCTCTGTTTCTCTCTAGCGCAATTCACCGAACACCTTCTGCTCAGAGGACGCAGCACATTCAACGACCTGAAAACTCCGGTGGTCAAGTTCGATTGTCGTGGTGGCTGAACAATGAATGACGATCCCTGGAAAGATAGGCGATGCGACGGGAAGGTGATCCGCAACGGGTCGCGACAGGTCGAGTCATCTCTCTCTCCCTCCCTCTCTCTCTCCCTCTCTCTCTCTCTCTCTCTCTCTCTCTCCGTCCATTCTCATTTCCCACCGAGTCTTCCTCCAATTCCTTTTCTTTTCTCCTCTCTCTCCCACGCCGCTACCGCCGCTGCTGTACCATCAGGTCGTTTCGTATGCGATTGAACCTTTCGGTCGATTTTCGGCTTGTTCGCCGCCTTTCAGATTCCATCGCCGCCGTCAGCTTTGCGTCCATCATTTCGCCCCGTCTAAGCCGCGCGCAAAGGGGGGGGGGGGGATGTGGGCTGGTGTTCAGAAGAGCTTCATCCGATTGACCGGTGGCCACTACCACCGGTCCAGCACCGCCTCATCAACCGGCGGCGACAGAATCCGAGGCCAAATCGAGAGTCTTCGGTGCTACATGAAAACCATTCTGGTTCTGTCCAGAACTGGTTTTTTGTTCCCAGAATCAGTTTTGGACCAGAAACCTGTTTGGTAACGTAATTTCATTTTTCTATTTCCGAGACAAGTTTGCTTCAAAATGCGATTCGCAAGGAAATGAGAAAAAAAAAAAGTTGGTTTTTCATTTCGGAACAAAAGTGAGAACCATTTCGAGGAATTCATTTTCTTCAACGCACATATTCATATGGAAGTCACGATTTTTGAGGTGAGAAAAAAAAAATCAAAAATTTCAAAACTTAACATAATGGTTTAGAATCTGTGGCTACCCACTTTCAGTGAAATTTAAATTGTTTTAGGTACCGAAAAAAATAAAAAATTTCAAAATTTCACAAAATGGCTTAGAAAACCTATGGCCACCCACTTTGAGCAAAATGTAATTTTTTTAGTTGCAACAAAAAATAAACAATTCTAAAATTTAAAAACTTATGCGAATATCTTAGAATCACGTAGTACCACGATTTTAGCGAAATTTTATTTTTTTAGGTCTTGAAAAAAAAAAAAAAGTAAAAAATCAAAAATTTCAAAACTTCCGGAATGGCTTAGAATACTTTGTGGCCATCCACTTTGAGTGAAATTTAAATTTTTTAGGTGCCGAAAAAAGTAAAAAAAATAAAAAATTTCAAAACTTCACAGAATAGCTTAAAATACATGTGGCCACCCACTTTGAGTGAAATTTAAATTTTTTTATATGCCAAAAAAAATAAAAATAAGTAAAAAAGTATGCATTTCGGCCAAGGAGCACCAGTTCAAATAATTAATACGGCCTCAATCACAGTCGATTTGCACACAGACAGTAGCAACAGAAAACAGAGCATATGTGGTGTAGTTGAATGAAGAATGATTAGCTAATAGCGATTGACATCGGATATGAGTAAAGGGCTAGCAGAAGCAATGTCAAGGAAGGGAATCGTCGAAGCAGGCAGTCATGACCGACGTTTGGCTACTATCTCGTGAGATTTTCGCTGACAAAGAAAAAGAAAAAGAAGTAGAGCAAGAGAGAGGGAAAGAGAGAGCAAGAAGTAATACTGCCTGGGTTTTGTCATGCTATTACCTTCTTGACCACATTGTGCGGTCCCCGATTTCACTCGTCTTTGCTCGACCCTTTGACGGTCGTCGTCTTGCCTACACATCCGGACGAGTTGTTTCTTTGCCTTCCCGACGCCTGACTCGACGCCACGGCCACGGTGGCAACACTAACAAGAGCCACGGCCACTGGCCGCCTTGCTTCGCCACTATGCTTACCGAGCCTTATCCACGGTTGCGGTGTCTCTCGTCTTTGCTCCGTCCGGACCAAACCAAACACAACCGTATGGAGTTTTCCCCAAAAATAGCATACGAGAGAAATCCCGAGCAACATGCCTCGGACTCGCCGAACCTCCGATGTCGTCATCTCGCTTTTGCTCGGTGGTGGTCCCGGCCGGCGAGAATCTCGCCTCCAATGGCCACCAGCGTCCCCAATCCCCCGTTCAGAGGAGAGGTGGAGTTATTCGCGAGTGGTCTTCCATAGGTAGAAGGCCACGGTGGTCAATGTCTAGGTAGGCTGAAATCTTGGTGAAGCCATTCGCCACTCTGGAGCGAAGCCGGTAGAGATGATGACATTGGAGACCGGCGAGTCCAAGGCATGTTGCTCGGGATTTCTCTGTTTGCTATTTAGATTATATTTTCTGGTTGTAAGTAGTCAAAAAAAGAATTGGGTCCGGACGAAAAGTTGTAATGAGATGGGCCGACGCACTAGTTATTGTTTATTATTTGTTATTTATCTTATTATTCTTTATTTATTTTGTTTATTTGTATTTATCTTTATCAATTTAAAAAAACATGCATGTTCGATTTGCTTAAACAATAAAAGTGTCAACTAAGGTAAGGAGGGTAGTGTTGCAACATCATAAAATTCCAATCTTGACAATCTAGACGGGAGCTTCAGGCAACTTAGTTGTCGTTGTATATTTTATCCAAATTACTTTTAATTTCATCGAATTTCTGATCGAATCGGGTAGATTGACTACTTGTGACCATGATAGATCCAACTTGAGAAATGATTGTGATTCTCCAATCGAGCATAGAAGTTCCATTCTCCGGTAGCAACTGCATATTTGGCAAGTGTGTAGGTCAATCCAGCACCCAATTTGTTTGACAAAATGTAACAAAGACAAGATCAACGAGAGCTACGTTCAATTTTCCTATTAATCTCAATATTAAAGCTAATTAAAGGTAGTTTTTCAGTCTCATAACTACACAAAGACTACATTTTAATTCTTTTCTTTAAGAGGGAAAAACATATATAGTGTGAAATTAAGGTTAGAATTGAAAAAAGTAGTAATTCCTAGCGTAGAAAAAATATTTTCCAAACCTTCCCAGTAATTATAAAGAAACCAAGATGGGCTGAGCTCACACGTTTTAAACATTAAGCTGCCAAGATCAACTTCGAATAGAAATTGAGATGAAAAACATCAAGTGTGGCAACTAAAAGATTTTCAAAATGTGATATAAGGAAAAATCAAGGCCTGCGATTGAATAATCATATTTGCGCATTTTCATAGGGTCACTACCGAGAGTACAGACTTGTGTATCTCCAATAATTACCCGATGTGTGTGGGATGAAGAGACCGCTGGACCTGATGGAAATTAATCGGATGCTCAAAGAGTCCTAAATGCTCAAAGAGTCCATTCATTACCAAAATCTAAGAGACATCTAAGTCTATTAATCTTGTAAATATACGTTGGTTTTGAACTACATACATAACTCAATTGGAAGAAACTGAAGGTTCATAGAAGGTGCCTTCTCATTTTTATTTATTTTCATAAAAACTACTAAGCTTAATCATAATTTGTTTCTCGAAACATCACTTTAATAGTTCTAAAAAAACCCAATTTCACTGAGCAATTACACCTCATTGATGGGACGAGTGAATATAAAGTGTACTTGTATGTTAAGGGGATCATTAACTCCATATTAATGTCAGCCTATTTCATAGATCGCTTGGATCTCAACGCTTTTTAATAGTTGAGCCTGACCACCCCTGTCTCTCCCTCTCTCTCTTTCCGATTCATTCACTGGAAAAGTAGCGTAATGATTCACAAAGCCAATGTCTTCTCATTGCAAACTCCAAATTGGAAAATAAATATAATAAAGCTGCTTGGAACAGTATTAGTATTTGCTAGTGCATAAATGCAATTAGAAGGCAATGGAAAATTGGCCAAATTTTTGTAATTCCAAAAGTCATAATCTACATTCAACAAAGGAGAATTTACCGGTATGTTTGAGGACAATATACCAATCTAAACTACCTTAATGTGAAACTAATATTTAGTGAAGCAAGCTCGGAAATTCAAACTATGCTTGAACATTTGTCAACCAATTCTGATTTTCAAAGCGCTTTTTCCACGCCCATTTTCGCTTATCCTCGCCCTATAACAGTGTATTGACCATAGTGCCCCTTCTTCTATGACTTTATTGTCTCCTCTCTCTGTTCTCTCTCTTGCTTTCGCGCATGCGCGACTTGCTCCATCTCGAGAACCAGTTCCCCTTCTTCGTTCTCCAAACGCTTTAAGATATGTCAAAGCGCCCCGACGAATCACAGTGTTCTCTCGTCGAGCTTGCGCTACAATTCTTCAACTATGCGGCTACCGTAGGTAATGTGTATGCTACTGCTCATGGACTTGGGCATGGCGTTGCCTGACCGCTGGATATCCCACCGAGGTTGGTGAATGGTGATGGTTCGCTAAGAGAGAACCAACAAAACCTAAAAAAAAAAAAAAAGGTCACGGAAGGGGCAATATGGTCAACCCACCCGTAATAGAGCGTGGATAAGCGAAAACAGGCGTGGAAAAAGCGCCCGCCAAATGCAAAATGCGTTCCTTTTTCCCCCCTTAGATGACCACTGGTTTAGTCGCACCATCTATATATTAATGAGATGGGATCTATTGTTGCTGTGATTATGGTTTCGTCTAGAGTTTCGATCTCGGTTTTCATTTAATTTCTCGTAACATTCTTTTCCATTTCATGATATTATTTTTGAACTAAAGCTTTGTAATTTGGATGAATTACCGCTCTTCTTTGTTTAAATTAGAAAAAAAAAATACTTGAGAGTCTTTTGTTACACGACAAAATCTCGCCCCCCCTAAAGTCAATGCAGATATTGATCTCTTTCATTACAAATGTATTTTTTCGATTGTAGATTTAACTGATAAATTCATTTTTTGTGATGAAGGTTCAATAATCTTTATATTGATTTTTTTTTGATAGAAAATCTATTTAGATCAATTTCACGAGTTCTTCTTGTTATATTATCATATATAGGTGAAATTCGCTTTCATTAAAGGATTTTGCACCCTTTTGTTAGCAGCTCTATCTACTTCCTCTCCATTACTTCCTCTTTTATATGCCTTCTTTTAATTTTATGAACTATCTCACTCTCTCTGAAGAAAAGGTTGAAAATATCAATATCTGCTTTAATACTAAATGAAGTTACATGCTGTTTTTAAGAAGCTACACACATCTAAATAAGAGAGGAAAGGTTGAAAATATTTAGGCGATAGAAAACAAAAGGTTAAAGTGCTAAGGAAGGGGATCTTTTGTCGTACAAGGATTTATAATGATAAATAAGAATAAAATAAATAATTTGGCACAAGTATGCCAAAATGAATCAGCATGGGCATCCAAATTTTTAAAAGCAAATTATCCTAGCTAACAAGTGTAGTTAGGCAAAGTGTATAACTAATTTCCATTGACTAATTATATTGGAAATTTTCTCTCCATTGAAAAATAATTCAAAAGGATAACGTAACCTTAAAAAATCATTCAATAGAATGGGGGGTTTCTATTGTGTACTTTTTCTTGATACAAATAAATTGCTTTGGAAAAAATCACAAAATAACGGCTTTCATTGGTGGGTTGGACCTAAGCGATGGCCGATACGACGCTCCTGAGCACAGGCTCTATAGCAATCTTGACATCGTCTTTGAAAATTGACATTCACAACCCCACATTCACAGTAATTAACTAATGTGTACATTTAGCACTGTAATAACATGGATATGTTATTTTCTAGTCATGAGAATTAATTTCTTTTTGTGATGAGTGTAGTCCACTGTCAATGTCCCTAGGCAACCGTGGCATGATCTACATTGCAAAGCTAAGACGACAGTTGATACTCTGTGTTTCAGTTTGGAGGAAGCAAAAAAGAGAATATGTGCACGTAGCACAACTGAAGCAGAGTCGGAGCATTTCAAAAGCAAGTGTCTTTGTTAAGTTTCCCATTGCAACCAACGAATGATTAGTATCGCATCATCGTTGTGCACTGATATTTTGAGCTATAAACAGATCTACCTGGAGTTGCTTTTATATTACCTTATTTCTACATTGATTCCCAAAGCAAGGAGCACGGAGGTATGATTTGACTCCACAGAAATGCGTCTACTATACATCTCAGCCACAATTTTTCAGTCATTTAATCCATTCATCCTCTAAATCCAAAAGCTCAACTTGCCTATGATTTATGACCCTGCAACGCTTGTTGTTTTGTTGAACTTACTAAATCATTCGGTGACAAGTATGAAAATGAATGATTACTCATTTACCACCTCCAGTTCAAGTATGGGAGGCCGGGAGGTAGAATGCAATAGAAACTATGACCAACCTAGATAAGACCGGCAAGAGGTCATGTGCCGAATCGATAAGGAAGCCCTCAATATTGGTTACCAGGGACATATGCAGTGGGATGCTCTGCAAATTTATCCTCCTCAGCAAAGTTATGGTCCCAGAGGCAAGGTGAAAGAAGAGATCCCATGCCAATGAGCAATATGGATTATGCCACCGGTGGAAGGGATCCATATCAAGCAAGGAAGGAGAGGTCCGGTGACTTCATATGAGGCAAACTACAATCAGCAGGGTCATAACAACAATTACTATCGGCAAACAGAGAGACCTGCCGCAAGGAGATAGATGGAGCTCTGCATCTCCAGTGCAGAATGATTATAGGAGAGACAATCGGAACCATGCACCTACTCCTGGTGGAACATATGGGAAGGGTCCTAATGGATTTCAAGGGCAGGGTACTGGTAGTACTGGTGGCCACCTCACTTGAGGGTTGCTTTTGCGAGTTCTTTGAAGGAGGGAGGAAAACAAAAATCATGTCTTTGAAACATCATTCTGAACGGCAGTGGCCAATGAACACTTCGAGGAACGAAAGGACATCATGAATGAGTAGGTCGAATTTGGTGTTGTGCACAGTATGTTGGCACAAACGCACTTGAAGGATCAATTAGATTTAAGCTATAACTCTTATAAATAAGCCTTGAATGGTGAGCGTCAAAGCAGAGGGAGAGAATATTGGTATTTTGTTGGCAAGTGTCGACCATGCAAATATTTTGAGGGGCCTCATTGACGAGTTTTGTCGAGAAATTTCCTCGGATTTGATTAGTCTACCCAATCACCTTTAGACGAAGTTAGTAAATTACAAAATATTTAATATTGCAAAAAAAAGTAGATGCCCGAGCTCTAAAACTAGTAGAGGGTTTGCTTCGAGATCGCAAGAATCATAGAATTAAACTTCAATCAACATCAGAGTCCTATAAATCATTTATCAAGCCAAGACTCTCATGGCAATATCAAGCTTACATCTCATCAATTTATTCACACACGCGATATCACCTATCCACGGGCAACAAAAAAGGCAACCAAACTAAAGACAAAATCCATCTAATTGATCCTTATTGCACAAATTCCAGCACATGTTCAGAATTGCAACAGAGCATACACCACCGCCAATTGTGATCCTTTCATGACTAAATGTCATGAATTGAAGGATATGAGTCTGCTTGATCAAAATGGCATCAATCCAAGACCAAATTAATACCGAATTTAAACAAAGAAATCACGGTAAGCATGCAATACTTTGATTCTAGCATATTCAAGTTCGGTTATGGCTATAATTCTCGTAAAATTGGCATGAGATTGACCATATTAGTTTCCTAGCATGAACATATATGATCCCATAACCAAACTAGCCTCAGCATGGAATCAAAATCACACCAAATCAGAGATATCAAGATAGAGTTAGCATACACGGATCGATTTCCAGTAGAATTTAATTCATTCATGACATAATTTCTTTTCAAGGGAACATGGAATTCACCATAACACAATCTTATATCACTACACATGCTTACTTGAGTGGAATGGCATAAAATCAAGGACCAATTGACATCAGCTCAGAGCCGCAACAGTCGCAAATCGACATTTATTGACAAGGTTCAAGCAGATCCAAAACAAGTTCGAAATTGAATACCTATGATTATTTATGAAGAAACAGAACTCAAATACGCTTATATGACCAGAATAGATCAACAATCTAGTAATGAAGGAAATTCTCGGCCAAGAACTGGATCAAAATACACACTGATTCAGTACAGGAATTTCATCAAATAGGTGGTATGCATTTCGGCCGAGGAGCACCAGATCAAATCATCAATACAGCGTGAATAACAACCGATTTTCACACAGACAATAGCAATAGCTCCCAGCCTCTGCTTCGTATATAAAGCAACGAAAAACAGAGGAGATATGAGTAAGGAGATAGCAGAAGCAACGTCAAGGAATGGGATCGTCGAAGCAGGCAGTCATGACCGATGTTTAAGCACTTCGGCATTACAGATCCTGGAGGCGGCGGAACAGTTGGCGAATATGAAATGCCAAGGATGGCCGGTTATTCCAGTCAACAATGCCTCGGTCCGGCTCTGCTCCACAGCTTATTAAGTCTGAGGATGGGAAGTCCTCAGACTTAGAGTCAGGGTACGGTAATTTCATAGAGTATTTCTCAGGTAAGAAGCTCCTGAATTTCGGCAACTCGAAAAGTCTAAGAGCAGTTAACTTGGAGAAGGTGATTGTCGTGCTGGTCGCTCCTTCCCATTTTTCATGGCCAGCAATTAGTTCCATATCTTTACACGACTCCACCACCAGCTCTTCGATTTGCTTCGGCAACTCGAAAAGTCTAAGAGCAGTTAACTTGGAGAAGGTGATTGTCGTGCTGGTCGCTCCTTCCCATTTTTCATGGCAAGCAATTAGTTCCATATCTTTACACGACTCCACCACCAGCTCTTCGATTTGCTAGAGAAATTCCGCCGTGAAGGTAGCGAAAAGCATTTCCAAACGGGAGCACCTCACAGCCTCTATGTCTCTCAAGTTTGGGAACGGGATGTTTGGGAGACCATCGGACTGCCAAATGTGCCTCAAGTTTTTGAGATCATGCAAAACCAGCCTCCTCAATTTACTACTCTCTGTAAACGTCCCATCACCTTCGTAAATGATCTCGATCGAACAGCATGAAATCACTTCTAGGATCTCGAGACGGCACTGTAGCCTCTTCCACATGTGGGACGGGGCGATACGTTGGAGATTGTCACAGTTCTTCAATTTAAGAGATTCCAATTTCGAAAATGAATCGGTGGGAATTTGATTGTTCCATAGCTCTTTGCACCGAAGGCCTTCAATTTTTAGACTTATTATATTGGGAAATGTAACCTGCACGAGGATAATGCGAGAGAGGAGGATAAGTAGGACAAATTTATTATGATGTTCTTTCTAAAACATGATAATGCAAGGATACGAATGATCATAGCAAGGGATTAAGCGAACCATCTCATTGAACAATGCCTGTGGGAATTCATCATTTTTTTCAGCCATCTCGCCTAACTGCCTCTTGACACCTGTAGGACTCCGGATGAACGCTCCAAAGTTAGGACACTGCGAAATACGTAGATGTCTTAAGGAAGGGAAACTCATCACATCTGCCTGTGATCGACCACCTTCTTCCTTAGGAACCACTTCCTTCATCTGTTCGCATTGCCTAATGTCTATCCTCTCGGGTTTCTCCAGCCTTGTGGCTGTGAAATTGGGGAAGAGATATTTCATGTCGGAGCAATTCGTAACACGGACATCTTTTAGACTAGGAAAACCCAGAATCATTTAAGAGTCGCCCTTCACCAGGCTTCTCAGCTTTCTTGCTTCCCGCACCCACACTTCTTCCAATTTGAGAAGCACCACACTTGTTTGCGTAGTATTTGCATCAAGGGACCCACAATCAAACAATGATTCTAGGGAGGGACAGTATCCAATCTTGACACTTTTCAGGTTGTGCAATCTCCCTATGGCTGTGGAAGGGAAGACGTTGAGTAGCTCAGAGCAATTTTCAAGGGTGAGGTTTGCTAGTTCGGAGAAGGAACTGCCGGGAAGTTCACTGTGCCATATCCTTTTGAAGGATCCCATTGAGATAAGGTCTAATGTCTTCAATCTTGGTAAACTAACCTGTTCATAAGATTTATGCGTCAGATCGTAGCTATGAAAAATTTCAAAATTTGGCCTAATCCTAATCGATATATCCAATCTCTAACGATTTTAGATTGTTGTATTTTAATGAAGGTTCGCTGTAGAGTATCTTTTCTGGGCAAGGAGTCCACCCATTACCTGGGATTCCAAGCAAGGCAATGAAACCTAACGGAAGCGCCAGAATGAAATTCATTAAAGGTGGTGAGTTTGTTACAAGTAAGCTATTTTCACGAGAAAATGACCAAAACTCTCGGGCTAAAATCCAAAAAGTAAAGAATTTCTCTTCCGTGAAAAGCGAAATCATTTTCATGAGGATATACTCACCACTATCATGCTGCTAATGCAGCAGCACAACTGCACAACTCTCTCTCTCTCTTTCTCTGACCATAACTTTTTTCTCTTTTCTTTTGAATTCATTTACTGATCTTCAAAACAACTACCATAATTTGGTTGTCTTTTCTTTTGTTTTTATATTTTGACCTTCAAAACTGAAAACAAATTCGTATTGGAGTTAAATTTTTCATAAATTTTTTGTTAACTTGTTGGTTTTCGTTATGAACAAGTAAATATGACTTACTCGGGCTTATTTCTATTAGGGATCCATAACAGTGTTTGTCTTTAGTTTGTAAATTTTCGCGCTTTGTCAGTAAAAACTAAAAAAAACTTTCTGAAATCGCGTTTTCGGCATAACCAAATACAAGAACGATTTTTTACCAGGAAAACATTTTTCAGCAATAAAGAATTTCCAGTGTAACAAGCGGACTCTAAATACATGAATGGGCTTGATCTCTCTTAAGAATGTCAAAAAACTTAATTAAGACAAAGGGATGACCAAAGGGATGACAAAAGCAGAACCACGTTCACACGGTGAGGTTGGCATGACGTGTTAGAATCATATGCAACTTGCATGTAGGTGGAACATGAATCATGTGGACTTTCTTTTGTTACGTGGCTCTTGGTTCGCCTTCCATTTATTTAATCTCTCACTTTCTTCATTTTGAAATTGTTGAATTTCATTCATTCCTTCGAGATTCATTCTTGTTCAATACAACATTTTTTCTTCTCACTAAAAATGTTAAATGAGTAACAAATGAGTCATAGTACAAATCCACGTTAGAGCCGAAGTAAGTAGTGCAATTATCTAACATTGAAATAAATTGAAAAGAAAACAGTCGTAGATAGAGGCTTCCCCCTAGCTATAGTTGAATGTGAAAAAAAATGTACGGTCTGTGTTTTCTTTGAATGGATTTTTTATCTGTGAATCAAAATGTACAAATAATCAAATTTAATGCAATATGCACTAAGGTTCGGTGAACACCATATCATCTTATCCTAAATCCCCTTGTAATAGTATGATCTAGGTATGGTTTGCAAGATTAAAAAATTAAGGAAACTTATACCCAGAAAACGAAAAAATTACCTGAATTGGAGCACCCTCAGCTCCGGTGCAAAAGCTCGTCATATTTGGTAACTTCTGCAAATCCAGACGATGTACATTAGCCAACTCAACTATGTCATCAGCAGCAACTTCTACTTTTCCTGCATCAGATAATGGCTTGCAATGAGTCACATTTATATACTTGAATCTCTTCCAAATGTACGAGTCTTTGCATCTCAGACAGAAACCACAGATTTTTCAATCGGTGGCACTTTTTGATATGCACGACTTTTAATTTGCTGAAGCAATCTAGTGCGATAGGGCCATTGCATAACATCTCCATATTAATAAGATTTTCGAGGAACAAAGACTCTAAAATCGTAAAAGCAGTGAGAGGGAGACCATTGGATGAATTGCAATGTACTTAATTGAGGGGCTGTTGTCAATGTCGAGATGCTTCAGTTCTCGAAATCCTTGGGTGCACAACTCGTGAGCGTTTTTCTCGAACTCTTTCAACCCGTCCAAATGTAAGTACTGAGTATTTTGCAGAGTTTTCTGAAGCCATTCTTTTGAAAGAATACTATCGCATCCTTCCAATTTGAGCTTCATGGTTCTCAAATCTTGAAATTCCCTCCCGTCAA